GCGGGAAGGGAAGGTGCGGAAAGGGAAGGGAAGGGAAGGGAAGGGAAGGGAAGGGAAGGGAAGGGAAGGGAAGGGATCAACCTAAAGCATTTCTAAAGCATGTGATGTAACAGCTTTTAAGTACGTGTCAAATAGCACAAAAGTACATGGACAAGTATTTGCTACCCAGCAATTATCATCAGATCATCATCAGATGATCAATAAGACTTTTTTCTACCCTTGTGCTTTTCTTCAGACTCTTGTTTTGTTTTTTCTCCAGACACGTGGCATTCTGTCATTTGCCCCTGCTTTTCAACTCTAGATTTAGCAACTGTTTTCAATACATTAACTGCAACTTTTGGAGAAAGTGAGTGGCTGGTAGACATCATTTAATGTAAGAAAGCGACTCTCTGTAAAGACTGAAAATCATCTTCCCCTTCATGTGAACTAAATTATGTTTTAACACAAACTCTAGGAAATAAGGACTATAAAATACCAATCAAGCCATTCTGAGTTACTGTTAGCAAGGATGATGAATATGTCAGAGGTTCTCCAATCACAAGCTCTATCAGATAGATGAAAAGGTGCATCACTCTTGCTGAGGACAGATCGTACTGACATATTCCTGAACTTGAATGATCAGGTATCTGATCCTATTTAAAGGACTCATTTAATTCTTCTGTTTCAAAGGTTTTTAAAGCTACCGTATGGAAAAACATTTTGAAGAGAATGATTCTGGAGAGAGAAAGGGTTTGCTATTTTCTCATTTTTGTTAAGCAGCCATGCACTGTAACCACTATTTGCTGTTACACGTACAAAAGCCTATGGTTCTAAAATACTAGCTTCACCTTCTGTTTCAACAACAAAAAAAAGGTCCAAAGTCAGGTCAAGCACAACTTGATTTCAGACTTGATAGCAGATTTGAATGGTTTAAACATTACAAGCTATACTTCAGAGCCCAAATAGGTATATTTAAACATGAATATAGACAAAAATTTGTGGTGAATACTGTTAGCATGCTGCATTGCATTATGTCCAAAACAACCCATTCCCAAATGCCCAAATAAAAGTAAATGATTGTGCATTGCATGATGATACCATTGGGTGTGCAACTTTGGTTCATGCAAAGTCTTGTTTTACGGACACACTGCCGATAGGCCATATATTCCTGAAGATTCTGTATGTGTGAGCTTTTCAGCCATGTTCTTTCCATAACACCAAATGGATACTATGGTCTGGCATACTGGTGGCAAAAACCAAGCCCGTATCATTTTGGCCATTTAGTCCATTTAACCAAGACATTTCACCAGCCAAAAAGCTTGAACCTCTCTTTGACTTTCTATATTCTGGCAAAGGCCAGCGGCTTATCAGTTTTTCTGTCCTCAAGTCCATTATATACAGGTATCTGTTGTCAAACAGTAGAGCAAATATCTCTCCAAAGCCCAGCAACGACACATTTGAGAAGTCTGGAGGTTTGATAACCCTAGAAGACAAGAAAACGGTATTAGAATCTCCCTTAAAATTTAGTCATGAGCTTGAATTACTAAACTAAATCCTGTGTGTCTACAGAAAATGTGTCTAAACACATCATTCTGAAATACTTTAGAAAGAACTGGATGCAAATCTTTCAAATTAAGCAACTGAACACTTAGCTACAATCAGGTCTGTGGTTTCAGTTCTGAATTTGTGCTTTCAGGACAGACCCATCTGAACATAAGTAAAGGCTAAGGTTTGAAAAGGATTATTCAGCAGAGCACAAGAAAAATATTTCCACATACAAACAAAAGAGAAAATCTACTTGTGTTTTACAGTAAATTTCCATATGGATTTCATGCCTCAATATCTTTACACTAAGAGGTAAATGCTGTTACTATTCTTTTGATCACTCTTCTAAAATGCAGAAGTGAAACATAGACATGCCTTGTTGTGATAAGCAGGTTAGATAAATCATCCTTGTCCTTAGAGTGCTGTTTTACTGATGTTTTATGTTAAATTAAGCATGGGGAGAAATTGAAGTATTTTTTAGTTCCCCAACACCTTTATGATGTCTTCCCTTAATAAGTAAAATTTGGAACAGAAACTGAAGACTTGAGTCTTCCACAACTGCCAGCACGTTTGATTATAGCATTACATAAAGCAAAGAACTGAGGCACAGAAATGTGTGGGGATGAAAATGTTCTCAACAGTAAGAGACCATCTTTTGTTTTGAAAGATGGGAGGGTAAACTAAGAGGTGAAATTACTCAGTTATTCTTACTGATACTTCTGAAGATCTTTCAAATATCCACAAATATTCAGACTATTTGAATTAAAGAGTCTGCTAGAGGTTCTAAAATGCATTTTTTTCTTTAGTAAGTTACTGTCTTTGATGCCACCATTTCCTACTCATACAGCCTGATTCTTTCTGTGGAAATTGAATGCCATCATGTTTATGTCATACTATATTAGGAACAGAGATAGTGACGACATAGACTCTCTAGCCCTAGCTGCAGAAGAGAGCACTTTTTGTTCTTCCAGATCTTTTTTTAATAGTCAGTTCCGAGAAGGTCCGAAGAGGTAAACCTCTCATTGGCCATCAAACGAACACATCACCATCATTGGACAGTCAAGAACAACACCCCTTGACAGTTTCTTGCAAGTAAACAACAAGGCAACAAACAACACCTGCAAAGGTTGTTTTCCTTCTCTAAGGACTGTTTGGATTCCTCCTTATGATTTCTCAGGCCAGAGTGAGAAAATTGTGTACTTGACTTTCCCATAGGCTCAAGATAGTGCCTGAAGCTTAAAAATCTCTTACTTGACCACTGTCAGTCCCCACATGTTTGGTCCCTTACTGCAGTCTGATAGATTTCACTATCATTCCACAGCATTAGCAGATCAATAGTGCTATAAGGAAAATTTTAATTTCTTGTCCCATCAAAGGACTCCCAGAAATGCCTGCTTGGTTCTCTGTCCAGCAGTCCATGGTAACATTAGCTCTGGGTCACTACATTTTCACATTCACAACTACAGTGTTGCACTCTAGTGTAAGTCTATACTGAAACATTTCAGCTTACAGAATGAAAATATGGAAGAGAATTAGCATGTGGCCAGAAACCAAAACAGCAGTGAAACGATTCATATTATCAGAAGGCAAAATTAGAATTAAAACTGCTCAGTATGTGTAAAGCAAGATGTTTACAGAATTTTTATCAAGATTCTTTTGGTCCACATATAAAATAAGTTACTGAAACTACTATGATCTACTTTTTACTCATTTAATGAAGACTGAATCCTAAACTGAATGGTTTACCTGAGAATATCATAGCTGGCAAAGTCCCACTGGTATAATCCTAGTGCTGAACTGCACACTATGTATTTACCATCAAAGTGCAGTCTGGGCTGTAGGGAGATGCTTCGGTCTTCAGAAACAGACAGTGTTCTTAAGCACTTGCAGTTTATTTCCCTTCCAATAGGCCAAATCTACAATTAAAACACAGTTTAAGGCCATAAAAAATTCACATTATAAATGTTACGTAAGTAGAGCAAGCCTCGCAGTCTCTTTTTAATAAAACAATAATAAATAGTAATAATAATAATAAATAATAATAAAAATTTAAAAAAATAATAAAAATAATAGGTAAATGTGTGCATAAGTTTTTTTCAGAAATATTTATCTCTTTCAGGTAGGAACATCAATTCTTCAACTGACTTGTCTTACAGTATTGGTGCAGCATGTGTTGTTTCTAGCCTAAAAAAACAGTGAAAATGGGTACTTTAAAGAATGGGGGGGGGGGGGGGGGGGAAATCAACCATCCAATTGGGACAGAAATGTAACTGTTTCAGTTACAAAGCACTTCTATAGCCACAAACTTACAGCACTCTCCCACCCCGAAGTCCCCAACAGTAACAGTATTTGCAGTTACCTGCCTCACCGTCAAGTTAGCACAATAAGCATGACCTGAAAGCACTGATTCTTTGCATTACCATTCTTGTAGAGCTATCATTTAAAACCAAATGCTAAGGCAAGCATTGAAAAATTAGTTTCCAATGAGTTTCATGTTCTGCACGCAGCCTCTAAAGCAGGAAATGTGGGGAAAAACTAAAGCCTTCTATTATTAATAAACTGCAGCAAAATACTCAAGGTTTTTGTTTCTCAATGTACCAAAATAATATATGCATGATATATGGTGCATACCTTGATTTCATACTTATCTGCACTTAGGAGAATATAATCCCCAGGACTATGCATAAGTGATTTGACTTTGCACTTCTGCAAAACGACCTGTAATTGAAGGATGGTAATGATTTATGTTGATGCTGTTAAATAAACAAATTTTCATTTGTATTTTTCACTTCACTGACCACCTGCATAGTGTACCCATGTATAAAGGCAGTACAAATAGTTTTAGCAACTGAAGGAAAACTACAGTTTACACTCCTCTTGTTCCTACTAGTAACAACTTACTGTATTAATAAGGAAACATACATATTTCACCTGTACAGTCATACCCCCCACATTTCAAGTTCTGAAATAAATAGAAGAAAAATATTGTTTCATGCTCAGATTTTTGTTATCAAGATCATTAGATTTTTTTACATAACTTCTAAAGCTGCATTCTTTCAGAACCAGTTTTTATTCAGTCTTTGAATCAAAAGGCTGCTTTCTAATATTATCCCAGCTGCTTTGGAATTGAAGTATCTTCAGTGGTCTGAAAGGTTTAATTACAGCTTAAATATTTTTTCTGTTGAAATGTTTTTTTGCAGTATTTCCAGATGTTTTTCAGATTCTAAACCTAGTTGCAGGGTTAGGAAATAAAAATTTAGAACGTTACAAATTTAGTGCAAATAAGTGTGTGAGATTAATTATAAATCAATATTCCTACCTTAGTGACCCATTCTGTGTGTCCAGTAAGGGTATTCAGGCACGTTCCTGTTGATAAGGCCCATACTTTCACAGTGAAGTCTGCAGAGCCACTGACCAGAATATCAAGTTCATCATTGTAATCCACACTGAAAACTTCAAGCAAAAATGGAACTAAATAAGGAATACCAGTCTCTAAGCATGCATTTTTCTGTGAGACACTAGCAGCCTCTGTATAAATTTAGTAGCTTCTAAATTCATATGCAACTATATCTTTAATTGTTCTTGAACTGTATACATGAATTGTTACTCTGGATGCCTAAATTTACATTGCAAAATTACTGGGGTTTTTTGCCTAAATTAAGAGCATGTATATATATCAGTGGTTTCTTTATGGCTGAACTATGGCAAAGAGCAACTTAAGCTAGTTCCTATTTCCAGAGTTTTAGTAAGACGATTCCACAGGATTAGTACATTTTATAAATACAAGGGAAAAAAACTGAGCTGAGCTGAGGATATTTCTAAGTACACAACAAAGAATTTAATAATGAGGGCAATACAAATACATATTCCCAGGTCCTATTTTACTCTTTGCTTTAAGCTCATGTCCAGTCTGGGAATAGAAAGAATGGTCATGATCATGTATACCTTGCTACCTAAGATTTGCATTTCTTTGAGCTTTGAAGCTACTGAAATAGCCATGGCATTTATTGTTACTTACATGCAATTGCAAAACACTACATGGCTAAGTTTTGGCATATTCAAGGACAAGTGTGTATCTGTTCTGGTCACTTCCTCTGTCAAGAAGAACTGTGACTCAGGCGACAGAGAACAGAGGCTGAACAAACAGAAAAAGCTAACTTATATTTTGTTTGATGATGATGTACGTCACTTCACTGGTGAAATTACAATTTTTAAATTTTCACCTACCTGCACCAGTATGTCCTCTAAAATGCTGTGTCTTTGCCCCAGAGCTCCATTCCCAACAGGCTACTGTGTTATCGAAAGATCCTGTTACAAGCTTTTGTTCATCAAACTTCACTGCAGCACAAGTGTGTGTCTGGATACCATATATGCACTGACCTGTGCTTACATCCCACAGTTTTGCAGACAAGTCATCTGATCCTAGAATATAAAAGAACAGGATAATTGGAAGATTGGTAGGTTCTAGCACTACCTCTGACTGACAGTGTCTACTGAAACAGACGCATGGAAGTTTCACATAATACATCACTCTCAGGTTTGCAGAGCCACTGACTATACTGCAAGCTTTAGTTTCTTTCAGGAAGGAAAGGGGTCCACCAAATCTTGAAACCAGGCCCCATATCCTGCCACTTTCTTTTCTCTACCTGAAGGTCTTCTTTTAAAAACTGCTAGCTTTGGAGAGCAAAATAAAACCCTGTACTATTTACACCCACTTCTTCTCCTGGGGGTTTCAGTACAAAAGCTGTCAGACAAGTTTTGACAACGCTGTTTTCTGTGTATAACATTCACTGTTGAGTAGGTAAGTGAAACACTGGCTCGATTCTAGTTGCTGGCTTCTAATAAGCATCCTAACGTACCAACAAATAAGCAACTGAAGTTAGTATTCCCAACTTAGTGTACAACATTGTCATTCCAAATGATTGGAAAATCCTTTGAATATGCTCTGACGGTGGTTCATTGTAACTGTTATTATTCTTTCATATTAAGGCTTCATATATATTCTGTCTGTAACTTAAGCTCAAACTAAAATCTTGAAGACTGTACTCTTCAGGGAGGAAGATGAAATTACGTTCCAGTCAGACTAGTAGCAAGGTTAAATCTAGTTTTACAGCACTTCATAAAGCACTTATGTTAAGAACTGAAAGTGCTTACAGCCTTGCTTCCAGGAAGAAGATACAACTTTTTCTTTCACACTTTGGGAGACTGAAATTCTCTCACAGCCCAAAGTCTTGTTATTTGAAAGCTATCATCTAAGAGGATAGCTAACATATCTGTACTTCTCAAATGGGCTTAATTATAGTAACAGCATGATCAAAATCATAGAGAAATCTGAATTGGAAGGGCCCTTAAAAATCATTTAGTTCCAACCACCCTGCCATGGGCAGAAACAATGACGCCTGCTGTTACTATTTCTTTATCCAACAAAGACATCAGTCTCCTTGTGTTCTTATTAAAGTGACTAATGAGTTTATTAATACACCAGGTGTTTCAGAAGTTGAAAAAATAAGTAATTTTGAATCATCATCTATAGTCACACTATGAAAACAATCTGTCTGGTAAAAGAAAAGCATATTGTCTTTAATCTTGAGGGGGAAGAGAAAACAAAGAATTTTATGACTCCCAAATTGTCTGTCCTTCCTACCTGTACACAGAAGTCCATCTTTATAGTAAAGTGCATATACTCTGGCACTGTGTCCAATTAAAGAGGATGTCTCAAAGGCTTCGTGGTCCTTCAGTTGCTTCATCCTTAAAATAGCTTTTAGGTAAACCTTCTTCCAATGTAGAGGATCCTGAACAGAGTCGTCTATCTGCCAACCCAAATTCTTACAAGCAGTCTGCCACACCTCTGTACAGGCACTTATAACCTTGTTCCACTGCTTAGAGACGAGGCAACATGTGAGTAAGGTCTGCGGATCAAGCCATTTTAACAGATAGAAACTAAGTTCCAATGGAAGAAGTTTGAGGAAGTCCCTCTTGAGGAGAATCTCTAGATTATTGGAGAGGTGCCTGAGCTGGACTGCTCCACTCAAGCTAATCAGGTGATCCAGAGTTTCATTTTTCTGCAAGTCCGTCAGAGAAAGAAATGCAATAGAAATGTTATCAAGCCATGCTTCAAAGTCCTTTTTCTCCATAAGGTTATGGAAAAATTTACCTGTGATACATCAAAATACTGTATTAGTTCCGTTCAGAAAATAAGGTATGAATCACATCTTTATTACTGGTACATAAGTATTCCAAATGGCACGTTAACACATAGATTTAAGTGACTAAACACATTTCAAAATATTCTTTAGATTAGGACTAAGCATTTGCATGCACCCTGAACTATCATTTGTCCTACAGCAGACTTACAAGTAAATTGCACGTAGCTAGTGAATGTTAGCATTCATTATGAATGTTTACATATTTCTTGTTTTAGATTAACACTTTCAGATTCTGAGTCCAATAAGGTAGGGGTTAATTTAAGTTTTAAACCTGTTACAGCAAATAAACACAGTCTTAGAGTTTACCCATGGATAATTCTGATAAAGGGAAAAAACCAAAGCACATAAGCAGTGGTAAGCTAGTTACTAACATAATTTACTCATATCTTTGTCCTGAACTATCTTAAATACAAAGCAGGTAACTAGTTAGTTTTTTAAAAAAAACAACTATAAAGAGATGTCTGACACACTGTGCTGGAGAATACGTTAGTCGTCTTTCTTTTTGGCCCATGTAAAGACCTGAGCTCGTGCATCAGTTTTGATGTGTCTGCACCACTTTGACCTAAATGCATAAAAAAAAGTCCTCTTTTGTTTTTTTTTCCTTTCCTATTTTCTCAGTTTATTTCCACTGAGACTTAACTGTGAAATTGAATACCACCTCCTGAACTACATCTATCTATATGCACCTATACTATCCTATGACATCTCAAGTTCCTCCAGTGCCCTGGGACTACTGATTAACAACATAAACATCTAACAAATGTTTATCAAATTTAAAAAACAGTTAAAATTTACAACAGTTAAACGATGTAACAGTTAAAATAAAACAAAATTTAACAAACAGTTAAAAAATAATATTTATTTTCTCTGGAAAGTCTAATTCATTAGACGACCGTCTTAATTTCACAGCATTCCCAGACTTTAAGAATTGAGGTACCTGAGTGGGACTCAACAGTATGTTTATTTCCATACAGACATTTTACCATCATAGAATAAGATCTCAGAGTACACCTCTTAAGAGTACATAGACTCCTATGTACAAAAAAGTACAGTCGTCTCCGTAAAAGGCTGCACATGGCATGCAATTGTTGGTAAAACACACAAGAAGATTCTGGATGTCAAATGCACAAAAGCAGCTGCTCCTGTTAAGTCACAAGTTCATTACAGTAGCTTTTACTGGAGACAGCACTTACCAGCTTTCCTCAGCACATACGGCAGTGAATATAGTTGCTGTTCAAACAGGCATGTGTTCTCTTTAAAATAAGTGAAAAATTCTAATAGGGCGGCTACGAATAAGAACTCCGTAAGCCCCAAGGCGTTTGTTGTGTTCAATACGTGAAACTAATACTGAAATTAGGGGCTGCTGTGAGGCTGCTGAAACCGGTGCTCGAGCCTCTTTTCCAGGTGTTACGCAGCCAGCCCCATCCGCTCCCCCCGCCCGCTCTCAATATACCTCCACACGCAAAAAGCACAGCGAGGACCGCAGACAGCGCCGCTGCTGCCGATAGTTCCGCGTCGCTCACCTCAGGTAGCAGCCCGGCGCGGAGTGTCCGTCGGCGGGCAGTCGCCAAGGCTTGCGCGGACTCCCGGAGCCCAGCACGGCAGGGTGCTTCCCTGCGGCCATCGCTCCCACCGCAGGACCGGCTCTTAGCACTTCCGCGGCCCGCGCCACAATCTGCGGGCACCCGCGACAGAAGGGTCACGTTCAAGACGAGACCAGGCCACACGACCACCCGGTACTGAAGGGAGGGGAGGGCTGGGCCGAGCCCACGCCGAGCGAACCGCCGGCACCGGAGAGAAGGCGCTCCCGCACCCGACGCTCTTACGATCAGGCGGCTTCCGGCGCATCCGAACGTCATCAGTCCCCGCCGCCCTTCTCCTGCCGCCCGGCGCTGCGCGGAGAGGCGGCCCCGTGGAGGAGAGGAGAGGCGGCCCCGTGGAGGAGAGGAGAGGCGGCCCCGTGGAGGAGAGGAGAGGCGGCCCCGTGGAGGAGAGGAGAGGCGGCCCCGTGGAGAGGCGCGTCGACGTTTCCCCTCAGGCGAGACATGGCTGCTGAGGAATCTCGCTGCCTGTTGCTTCACGCCGCTTCCGACTCGTACCCGAGGTTTTGGCAAGTTCTGTTTGTTAAGAATATTCTTGTAATTATTATGATGAAAAATGCACTAGCGTTTATCATACTGACTTAAAATCATGTGTTCTCTCTCCTTCTGGAAGAGGTACGGTGTTAGTAAAATCACGCACAAATCTAACGTGAAAACCGCATCCCCCTTACTTGATTAATCTAGACATAATTTACTTTTTCCTACTTAACTTGCATTTATTCTCTTCACCTTGTAATTGCAGGGTTTGCCTTTGTCTGGGGTCCAGCCCCATGGTTGCTGATACCTGAAATCTCCTTACTTAAAGAGAGAGGCATAGTGAACGCTGCTTGTGTGTTAACGAACTGGGTTATGGTCTTCTTAGGAACCCATCGAATTTCAGGATGTTATAGTAAGCACCATTAATTACTCTTTATTTCTTCAGTTCCTGTGTTTTTTTTAACCTGGTGTACTGACTGTAATGGCCACGTGAAAATATTAATTGTATTGGGGCCAATATATTTTTCTAAGATGTAAAATAAAATCCAATTTTATAAATAAATAAAATTTCCTTGCTGCACTCTACCTTTTCCTTATGGTGCATGTTACAGTGAAGAAGTGCATGATGCAGCCTGGGTAATGTTAGTTTCAGACTGTAGTGGTTGATGTTTGTGTGGCTGTTTTTTCTGGGATGCCTGACCTCAGAATTAAGTCTTAATCCCAAATGGAGATGAATTCTTGGCTTTCATGGATTTAAGGTTTTTTTCCTATTGTCAGGTGGCTAGGAATACATTTAAATCACAAGAAAGGTTGTAGCTCTTACAAGAGAGTATCTTTGATACTTCAGAAAAGATGATTGGTTTTTCAAAAGGAATTGCAAGGTGTTGGAGACAGTAAGAATACACTTTACCAGAAAGGGAGAAAAACTGTTTTGTAGTGTTAGTTTACAGAGTAAAGATCTCCAACTGAAGCAGGTCTCTGAAAGTCTAAAAGATGCCTGGAAACGCAAACCAATGCTACATTATGGCTTTTGTCAAAAATGGGTAAAGCTTAAGACACAAACAGCAATCTCATAGTTATGTTACAGGACTTCAGAAAATTCAAATGGAAAAAGCAGTCCTCTGTGCTACATCTACATCCTGTCTTTCTGATTTCTTGTCTTTTTACTTTCCAAATTTCAAAGTCATTAGTCCTGTGTGTGTGAAAGAAACGGTTGGGTCAAATTTATAGTTTATTACAGATGAAGGAATAAATCATGTTTCCTCTTCACAAATGTGATAAATAGCACTTAAAACAGTTTCAGATGTGATAGGACTGTTTCTGCTTGCATGTTATATCTAAAATACAAACTATACATGCTATCATATGACATAAAAAATAATGGTAATACACCAGCATTTAATCTGATTACCATCACCAGTGATAAAGTCTTTGATCACAGTTGTAGCAACAGTCTTAACAATATGCTGTTACTAAATTACAAAGCAGTCTGCTACCATTCAAAGACAATTAAACTGACATTCCAGATTGATAACACTCTGCATAAATCTTTAAATAACATTTTCCATTCAACCAGGTAAATACATAGTAGAGCTATAAATAAATTTGCAGAAAATTATCTCCATTTTCTCTTCAAGCCAGGTGCTAGTACCACAATTTCCACCAGCAAATAGGAGTCAATTACAGTCAGCAACAAAGTGAAGCAGCTAAGCAGTATACAGGCTGGTGAAGTTGCTGTGCTCAACTAAGACAAGTAAAAATACTTTCCAACCTGCATGCAAGTACAGCTGTTCACTGCATAATCTCTTGAGCCATCCCATATTGTTAATATTAGGTTCCCAGGGTATAATTTAGTCCTTCACAAAACCAGATTAAGCCTGAGAAAACAGTGCTTTAACAGAATAAGCAAGCACTGTGCGTATGAACCATGACATTGAATTGTTAACAATGAAAACAGTGTGATACTCATTGCCATACACAGAAGGCAACAGAAATTATTCTGCAATACCTTATCACTTGCTGATGGGATTTTTCCTTTCCCTTCCTTTTGTGATCCCATTACTTTAAGTTCCTATATATATAACTCAGGATTTTTAATCCCTGAAAATTTACGGTAGAAATTACAAATATATATACCTATATATGTATATATATTGAAAACAAAATCCATATGAAAAGGGCTATATATTTCAAATGCAGACTTTTAAGTTAACGGCTCTGGAAAAGCCACTGCATCTGCAAGCACAAGTTATAGACCCACATTTTTATGAAAACATATTTGAGCTAGCCATTACTGGTTAAATATACATACTATGGCAGAAAATATATGTCAGGAGTAGCAACCTTAACCATATGTAATTAGTTAGGCAATAGTTACTCAATCCCTGCCCTCTTAAACACTGTTTAAATATTAATTCAGTTGACTGTCACAGTACTAAAAAAATCCAATTGGAATCTATCAATTACAAGTACTTGCACATTTACAGAAATAATTACATGAAGGCAGAGAACAAACCTGTTATTCATTCCAGGTGCGTACTTGTGTGTATGTTATGCATTGAAAAACAAAAACAAACAGAATCCCCAGCCAACCAAATCCCTCCTCCAAAACCTGAAAAAAAAATCCCAACCAACAAAATCCCTCCCATGCCGCCAGCCTCAAGAAACCATACCAACCAAAACAAACAAGAATCCATGCCACACCCCCAAACCGGTAAAGGACTATAACTAGAACAGGCCTTACTTCTTTATAAACCAGGAAACTGAATGTATGTGTGCGTTCACTGAACCTAGAGAGCAGTTCTCTTGCTACCATAGAGCTTTCAAATTGCATGTGGGTCTTTATTTCTTATTGGAAGGAAGTACTTTGTTACTTTCAAACACATATAAAATATTTAAGTATACTGCATTGTCACTAGGATAAGAAACTGGACAAAAATTACTCTTAGCCTGTACTAGTTTCTAAAGCCCAAACTGAGCTTTAGGAACCTTGGGAACAGTTCATCAAAGCCTTAGCCTTAATGGCTCCATATTGTGTGTGTGTGAGTATGTGAAAGAATTAACTTAGCTCATGTGTCAGGGGGTTCTTTAGTCACACTTCAAAGTTGTGGTGATGGTTTATATGCATGCTGTAATTCAAATGCAGGACAAAGATGACGAGTAGCTCAAAATGTTTCATACCCATTTTGAAATGGTGGTGCATGGGTGTGTGTATTGGACTAGATGATAACACAGTGGTCCCCTCTACCCTCAACTATTTTGTGATTTCATGCATCATTATCTATGCTGGTGAGAATGCACAAGTACAATCTAAATTAACTGCCTGTACAGTCTAATGGTTGCACCAAGGTAAATGAGAGTGGTGACCCATACCATTTAGACAGAAGGAGTTAAGAGGCCTACCACTGCCAACAAATCCAGCACATTAGGATAGAAAGTATTTATTGCAGAAACTTAGCCAAGAGTCTAGAAGGGGCCTTCAGTTAAACTTAGCTTGATAGCAAGTGTTCAATCTGGTAACAATTCTTCCTTCACAGAAACAATTCCTTCCATCCATCTGTAGCAATATTTTTCAGTTTTCCTATTAAAACAACACCCATCTTACTAGTTGTAGATTCAAAGGTTATCTTTTCTCCTAACCATGAGCTGGTCAGCCAGCATCAAGAATGCAGCCTACAGGCAGCCTTAACATCCAGTGTGAAAGGAGAAAGGGTTGTGCCTACAGTGGACACAGCTACAGTTTGTACCTAAGACTACTTTTTAAGTTTTAGAGAGTATATGCATGCACATGCTGGAAAAACAGAGGGCAAACAACATGGTTCCAACTCTGGAGAGAACTATAGCGATCCCAGCAGCCTTCTGAGAAGCCTTGTCATCTTACACCAGTCTTAAGGAGAGGTTCTGCAGATGCGTAAGAACTTTGCCTTTTATAAATGATGCACAAGAGCTTATGTATCAGTATCACCAATGGTCTCTAGATTTTAATTAGCAGTCTGAATGGTAAGGATGATCTTTTGAGAGAAACAATGGCTAGAAGCTAGTTCTCACATGAAAAGACACAGAAATCATGGTGGTCTAATCAGACTATTAAAAACTCAGTGAATATCAGCCATATCCTTGTACAATAGAGGTTTCTCCTGTTACACCAGCAGTTTCACGTGATTGTGTTGGTATTTGTTCTTTTGATACAATGTGATAAAGATCTTCACAGAATTTGGTTCCTGTGGCTTGTGTCAAATAAAATTGGAATATTATTTCCATGTTCTCTACCTTCTACCTATATTCTGGGCTGCACTCATACAGTAAGTAGGTAGTAAACTACATATACATGACTTTAAAGCCTCAGCTACCATCTCTAAGTGTATAACCCAAACCAGATGTTGTATTCCTCTGTAGTTCTTTTGCCACATTAGGTATTATCCTTCTACAACACTCTTGATTAAGTACAGAAGCAAAAACTCAAGAAGTCAAAGCCTTGTTAAGGGACTTACTGGAAACATTAAGAATGAAGACATTAATTTTTTTCCAGATTTCAGCTCCTTCCTGTCCTATATGAGTAATGGTCTGTTAAGGTCTGGCTGTTCCTAGTGTGACCTGCTTAACAGCTTGTACCTGACCCGTTAAGTCTAGCTATAGCATAAAAGCAGGTGGGAGGTGGGTGGGATGCAGTTGCTGGGTTTTGCTCTTCAAATGATACCAACATCCTGTTCCATGTATGTACCACGAAGCCAGTATGATCTGGTTTTGTCTAGTTTCAGTAATCCAGTTTCTGTACTCCTTATAGTTAATTTGCTAGATGTCATCACTGCTGTAACTACAGGCACACCTTCAAAGGTTCTTTCTCTCTCTCTCCCCCCCCCCCCCCCAACATTCCCACCCCCCAACAGTCTCTTATTTCATGGTAATACTTTACAGCCACTGCTTTACTTACTATTCAAGAAAATAACTCCTGCTTTATAGCCCTTTCTTCAATAATCATGTTTATGATATAATGCAAATGCTGTATCTATATGCATTCTGACTACCATCATAGCCAGTAATCAAGCTTTCTGTCAAGCTCATTCTTGTTCTCCCTAGCGCTCCATCTCTAAGGCTAGTCTTTCAGGATACTTAAGTATGTATTTGCTCAGGTTCTTCAAAACAAGTTTTAAAATCTCCATATATTGCTTCAACTGTTATCAAACAATGGTTAATCATTTTAAATCATGCTATAATAGCACAGGTGAACATCTGCAGTATATTTAAAATCCAAAATTCTAACAGGATAAAGCAAAGTTTCCAGTTAAAATTTTAACTGAAGCCCCAGTTTTGCAACACGCTGGTACAATCTTCAAAAATAGCCACAAACCAGAAATCAAATACTACATTGAGAAAGCTGTTCATAGAAAAAGCTGGTTCTTTTCCTTTCTAAAAATAGGTAAGTGCCAGCAGTGACCCCAAAAGTAGATTCAGTGGATTCAGAAGTGTTTACAACTTCCTGGAAAATAAATACCACATGATACTTTCTGATTGATTTTTTTTTTAAACCTTAACTGTCTAAATAAATACGGATAGGGTAAAATAGCACAATCGCTGGAAACAACATTCTCAAAAAATAATTACAAGTTTTTGCAAAGACTTGAATCTGGTACTTCCTTTTAGATGCTTATTAAGGTTCACCCCACACATCTATGAGTGCAAAACCCACTAAAGTAATAATAGCCTTCTGCTCCTAGACTAATTACTGTTTAAAATATTGCTTGTTGTGTTGATTAGCCGCCCCAATTGAGTGTAAGAAATTATGCTTCCAGGTAAGACCTTGCATATTTTCAAGTGAAGCAATTCAGCCATTATATACAATAAACTAAGAAAAAAATCACGTTGCAAAACCAGTTTTACATTCAGACTGATGGCAGCAAAAGGCACACATCTGCAAGATGATCATACTTGAACAAAAGTGAAATCATGACATACAAGTGGTATTATGAAATAAAATCAAGCATACAGAAGTATTTCTACAGATGGAACAAGAAACACTTGTTAGTAAAGCTAAAAATGTCCTATATAGAAAGGCTTTCATGAAAAAACACCAAAACCAAACAAAATCTTTGCAAAGGTGTTCTACAGGAAAGGGTAAAAAAAAATCAAACTTTAAATATAAATCCCTGCCTTTTAACACTAAGAGACAAGATGACTATTTCATCATAGAAGACTAGCTTATTAGCAGTGAAATTTGAGTCTGCATCCAATTACAAAAATACAACTATCTGAAATAATGACTTGTACTGTTGGTGCAAGTGCAGACAACAGCTAATGATGATGTCTGCATAAGAATCTTTTTGTAGTCAAAGACAATTGGGGTTGGCTCTTCTGCCTGTAATGGAAAAATCTGCAGATGCACTACAATAAGAGTTTTCCAGCAGATGGACTGGGGTTTTTGTTTTGGCATTTTTTGTTTGTTTGTGGGTTTTTTAGTTTTTTTTAATTTCCAATTTTCGAGAAACATTCTGAAAGTTTGTGTTTCCTATAGAAAGTTTCTCTGCTCATGGATTCTTTATGCCAAAAGAGTTTTCAAGGTTCTCTAAAAATGAGCAAAGGAAACACCATATCTCACCAGATTCTTCAGTAAACATACCACAGATGCATCAGTTTAAGGAGTGACTGCACTGCTTAAAATGACCTCACCTGCAAGCCTTCTTTTGTTGTTGTTTTGTTTTGTTTTTTAAAGACCGAAAAAATGAAAGTAGTGATCTATGTTATAAAATTCCTCTTCCAACATGACATACACTGTTGTAAAACAACTCATGAATAGTAATTACAGCAATTAACTTTGCTGCATGTCATTTAGGTAAATCAAATTAATAAGCAGCTTAGAACAAGTAATACTTTTTGTTTACTTCAGTTTCAGCCTAAATTTCTCATTGATTACCTACTGTTAGAATGCCACAAAAAGTAATGCTTCATTAACTGAGAAAACATACCTATGTCAAAGATAAAAGCATCACCAAATCAGGCTGTGCTAACCAGAACATGGGTTCTATAAGGATATATCACCAGTACTTCCAGCCACATTTTACCACCAGAAGCAGTGTTTGTGACATTGCCATAGAGCTTACAGAGTTGTAAGAAAATGTGTAGTAAGGGAGGTTTTAAAAGTGTCTTCATTTTAAGTCAATGATGTCTTCATCATATAAAGAAATCAGCTGAAATGGATAGCTAGGTGGTGAGCTCTCCTCCCTGTTTGCTAAAGTATCAGGATCTGAACTAGTGGAAAGATGACGTCTTTCAGAATAGCCTTCAAATGAGCTTGAGATTATCCTGCAAAGAGGAAGACAAAAGTTACTAAAAAAAATACACAGGTCAGGGCAGGAAGGAAAAATGGCTACTTCTAGATTCAATCAAGTTATCCTAAAGACAGACACAGACCATTACAACTGAGTTTCTTCCTGTTTCACTCTACAAAAAATAATCAAAAGGCAGTATTAATGAAGCCCCTCACCCAAATAATTTCCAAATAGGGAAATATCAAACATAGTTTTACACTGCAAGAGTTTAGTTTTGCTTTGTTTCTCTCAGTCTCCTGTATCTTGCAGGTATTCTGTATTCTGCCAATATTCTGTGTAAACATAGGTTATGGAAACAGTGAAAACAAGAGAATGGCACTGCGGTCAGTGCCAAACAGCCAAATGCTGTGGTATTTTTTCACAAAATTTATTCTGAAAATAGCAACACAAGAGCATACAAAGAAAACAGCAAAAAGAGTCTGCACAGTGCAGCTGCAGAAGTCCAAATCTTTGTAACAGGTTCAGCTGCAGCAGGTCCCCTCAAAATGCCATTTAGTCCTGCCTTGCTCATTAACATGTCTTTAGCAAAAAGTGTAATTGTTTCAGTACTTACCGTATTCATTTCCTCTAGCAAACACAGTAGCATGAAATGCACGTAGATATACAAAGGTCTCAGTCAGTCTCATGCCAACCGAGATATGCATGAGCAATCAATTCTGAAAATATTTACAGTCTTTTTTCTAAAGTATATTTACCTGTCACTACTAGATGATCTTATGGCTCCCTGCTTGGGGTCTGATTGTCTTCGAGAAACCGTTTTTAGCTTCTGTGCACTTTCTGTCTTGGGTATAGGCTCATCCAAGAGGCCTCAATAAAGGAATAAAAGACTTAATACTTTCAACAGAAAACAAAGCATTCATGAAAATGTTAAGGTATTTGTTGCTGGTTTCCATTATTAACTATTTCTATCTGGCTTAGAATATGGCCATCTTATACATGATCACACAATGGGTATACTATTTGCAAATAATGCTTCCTCACTGTTTCCTTTTCTTATTTTAATAATTTATGAATACTAGCTGCATGTTACAGACCTACCTGTGACGGTGCAAAGATTAGAAAGTATATGCTTGACAACTGATATGTAACACTGAGGAATGAGGAGAGTTTACCCAGCAATTCTTTACGTGTCCTGCTTGCAATTTCTTTAATTTCCATACGAGATAAAGATCGTGACTGCATAACTGGAAGAGAAGTAATGCTACTCGATGTTGTAGTAGCGATGACCTTGGGAACCAAAGGTGACTTCAGAGGTCGTTCAATGCTTCGCCCAACCAGATTGCTGAGAGGTATTTTGTACAGGTTTTTGCATGGAATTTCACCTGAAACACAGAAAGAAGAAAGAACATTACAGTTGCACAATGGAATCAGTTCTTAATAATTCCAAAAGAAAAGTTATAAAGACAAGCTATACTTGTTCAGCTGCGCACTTCTTAACTGAAACTACAAAGATCTTTCTTGCTCTAGAGATCTTTCAATACAAGTAAGCTAGGAGAAGGAAGAAATACAATCAATTTGACTTAGAGAGAAAAAGAAGATTGACTCTTGGCAACATGATGAATCAGGAGAGGAACCAGGAAGTGAATTTATATGATTTGCGCCTGACTATTACACGGCACACTGTTCCCATGTGTTTCTATACACTGCAAACATACTGGACCCTGGATTCCAAGTGGTTTAAATTATGATTCCTCCTCTTAGGTAACACAAAATACCACGTTTTCATAATTCATAGAAGAAAAACAAACCAAAATCCCAAACTTGCTATCAAATAGTACTGCCTTTAAGAAATTTGTGATTACCTTCTCCTTTTCCTTTCTGCTAACAGTAAAGCAGCAGTTTTGAGAAAGAAAGGTGTACACACATCTTGCATTATCTAGTTCCCTTCTTTCTACTTTATTGTTACACTATAGACTGACTGTTCACAGATGTTGTTACACTAAATTATCTGTGCAGAGTTTTTCAAGGCTTCTTACTTTTGTTTTGCAAAAGAGCTTCAGTGGTCTTTAAGCTTTTCTTAAATGAAAAGAATACTGTAGGTGAAACGTCAAGCTTTCTCACAATTTTATGCCCCTTTTTGCATTATTACTTGTGGTCACATTGCCAAAGACTCATCAAGCTACTGAGGCTTAATTCCTCCCTTCCTACAGAAATTATTTCTTCAAAATAGTGCTACCATATATTCAGAAAAGATACTACAGTGCAAAAGCTCAGCCAAGTGGTTTATATGTGTGGAAAACAGAAAATTTCTTATCATCCACACTTTCAGGTAGGAACTCACATATTTTTACCATCTTTACTGAAGATCAGCCACACCGAGATGTGATAGGTGTTGGAACAATTAGAGATCACATATACCTTCTAGAGAAGGAAGTTCTGGCTTTTCGTAAGCTGTTGGTGTTTGAGGAGAGCTCTTTGAACTCATTTCCTTAGAGCTGCTGTCAGATGATCCACTTACTGCAGCAGTAGCTTTAAAATAAATATCTGACTGAAATGACAAATAACCCATCATTAGTACAGTGAGACTTTCTTAGCTATCTTCTGATTCTCTTTGTCCTTGATATAAACCAGGAGCACACAGATGAACAATTATTGCAGATAAAGTAGCACATATTTCAGTTTTGTTTGTTGTGTTTTTAGCGGCAGCAACTTTTTATGTTAATTAGATCCAAACATATCACAGAAATAGTCAAACGTGATTTTTCCATCTTACCCTTGATGCTACAAGTTGAAGCTCAGGCACAACTGCTGTGTGGACTAAGTTCCCATTCACCACTAATCGGATCTCAATGGAATCAGTAGTGAAGGCAAGAACGTAAGGGAAAGCACAGACTGCAACGAAATAGAAGTTATTTGCAAGGAAGAATGGTTAAAGAAAAAGTTTCTTGGATGCTCCCTGAAAACTGTTCTTGACCTCTTCCATTCATAGGCATGTTCCATTCCTATGAAAAGTGTTGTCCAACATACTCATGTACACCAAGCTACATTGAGCCTGAAGAAATTTCATTGTCATGCCTGGCAGAACATAGAGTGAATGGAAAATGAGAAACACAAAAAAGAGGGAAAAAGTACAGCAAGGGATGAACTTGCTACCAAGGCTCCACTTTTCAGAATTATCATATTCAGAAACTTAAGTCAAATGGCATCATGAATGTAACATGCTTATTCCCAGAATACTGTAATTCCACCAAGAGCCAAGTGCAGGCACAAATGGTAATGATAAAACATCTACTAAAAAGGGATGTTTTCTTACCAACAGCATAAGGAACTTGATTCCAGCTGAAGTGGAAGTCATAAGCTGATGGCTGGACCAGTCGAGAACCTCCACTGAAAGGAAATACCTTTCTGTATTGACAAACATCTATAACAAAATAGAAAAAAGAAGCATCCATCACTTTACACTGTAAGCAACCACCACCCATTTTATATGGAGATTTTGCAGAAGGGTAGACATTACACACACAATCAAACATTCATGTCAAAGTCCTTCTATAGCCAAACAGTTAAGCAAAATTTGCTTTCTCTGTCACCACACTGGAAAGACCAAAATAAAAGACCTATGTTTTAATAAGGTGTCATATTTCACAAAGTATTACTGTTTCAACAGTTATCAGGTCCCTAACTTGTCTATAGATAGAGGAACAGGCAAGAAAAATTCAGAAAGCAGTGTCTGCAGAATTGTACCTCCCTGCCCTTCAAGTAGCCATATGTTCATGTAATTTGCATTCTTTGAAGACTGTAATGCACATGGTCATTACAGTCACCAAGACTTCATGAATCATATAACCTGCACATCCATAAAACAGCTGGTATGACTAAAATACTCAAATTTCTAATTTCTCCAATATGCATTTAAGTTCCAAAGAATGTATTTGGCAAACTTTCCATGAACCACTAAAATTTATTTTCAGATACAATGAAAGAAGACCTGCATCTGCAGACTGACCTATTACCATTTCTGGCCTTTTCTAAACACTTACAGTTATAACACAAAAGCAGACCAGCTTCACCGTCTTCATATACATCAATTGCTGCAACAAAATTAACCTGCAATGATAATGGAAAAGATTAACAAACAGACAGAGGATACTGTGGTCATTACAACTGAGTTGTGACTAACAAGCAATACAATCAGCTGGGGAACTGCACAACCACAGGTAAAAGAAAAAAAAAAAGGAAAAAAAAATAGCCTCTTTTGTGATGTAATTTTCAGGATGTTCTCAAGATAAAAATGAGTTTCTTTTGTGTTTCATTCTGTACAGTACTGAACATTCATAACTACACCACAGTGTAAAGCAATAAAAACATATAACTTATTTAGAAATACAAATTTTGGGAAATAGGATGGTTTCAGAAAGCTGTGAATCAACATGGTATGTTAAAGATAACAATTATTTTCAAAAAGTGATCTTCAAATGCACATCATGACTAGCAAAAAGATCAGGTACACCAATTACTGGTTCAAAGCCAATAACATTTACAGAAGTCAACAGGAATGCACCTAAGGATTACTGAACAGTCTGAATTTACAAATTGAGAAGCAATGCTAGTTAAACCACAGTATATTTTACATAGATTAGGCTACATAAATTCACTTAATTCAACTTTGGTTTTGTCTTTTACATTTAGATTAAAACCAAACCAAAACAGCCATAAAAAGTAGGATATCTGCTCAGAAAATGAGACTGTATTAGTGAAATACATAAGGTTACATTAGGCAAATGCTTCCCAAACCATCTCCTTGGACAGGGAGAGGGCTGAGAGACTGACTCCATGAACAACAGTTCTTTGACTTTCTTTGATTTAAGATTACTGTGCAGATCAAGAACTGTTAAGCAAACCTGAAAGTTTACACATCCATACCAAATGCATTTTGACCCATCTTCTGTAGTGACTGAAACCCATTGCTGCTCTGTTGTCCAGAGAAATAAGCAGGCAACCCATTTCAACATCATAAAAATCACTAGCTCAGCTCATATTAATTGTCTGCCTTATTTGTGTTCCTAAAGGAAATAAGGATTGCAGAGTGGAAAAGAAATAGGAGTGGTGGATGGCAATGGTGACGTACTTCTCCATCCCCATTCTTTACTTCTAGTTCCTTCTCATTCAGATTAAGATTGATTCCCAGGGCTGTGGAGAAGTTTACATTTGATCAACCATGCCAAGAGCACCTCTTCATCACCAGATCCAATAAAAGTACAAATGATTTAAAAAGAAAATAACTTATTAAGAACTATCAAATGAAAAAAGTAGGCCTTTACCTCATTAACAACAACAACAGATTAACTGTGCAAAATCTTCCTTTTTTCTTTTTTTTTGTTCTAAAACTACAGGTCCACATCCCTATTTAGAAACTATCCTTTTCTGGAGCAGGAAATACTGGAATTTTTTTCTGGAAACCAAGAAATTTATCTAAATCCCAACCCTATGTCCTAGACAGCTAGATTCAGTTATTAGTTGACTGGACAGCAGTTTCTTAAATATAATTATAAGCTATATGTAAATATTTTAGCTACAAATAGGCAAATCTGAGTAAGATACTGGTGGTCAACCACTGAAGTTATTTTGATGCAGTTTTTTAAACAATATAACATTGATACCACAAAAATAAAGCAAAAAGCTAACTACTGGCTAAGAAGAAAAATATATTTTTGACAACAACATTCTTGAGCCTGAAACACAGGCTTTCTCCCAATGTTATATCTTATAACTACTTCTCTTGGGAGCTATTATCATGTGTCCCAAAAGGAACAAATGTCTCAGAGTGCCCTAAAGCAGCGGTTGTAGAAGTAAAAAGCAACACACATGAGCATCTCCACTAATTACACTCCTAAAAGGCCAGCACAGCATGCACTGAGTCTGCAACAAACTATGTTCAGTGGGGATCTGCAAAAAACATTTCAATGATGAAAACTTACCCTGTTTGTTTCAACATGATGGAATCTATAGGACTCCCCTGTACTCTCATTGACTAAATCAAACTGATGCCGATATGCTACACAGATCATATTGTCACTGTCTCCAGTAGGTCCATCCACCAGCGTCATAACCACCGGAGGGTCAGAAAGGCATATTTCCTATAACGTAAATAATAGAATTACTCTCTTTTTCAAGTTCCTACTCTGAGTGCTGCAGGTTCTCCATGATTTTAAAGATATGTTTTCTAAGCACAGAAGCATAACAAAGAACAAGCAGAAACAATTCTTAAAAAATCTGAAAGTTTTATTTAGCATATATATGATTGAACTCTACTATACTTTTATTTGTCTGTTCTGTTCTGGTTCAGGAAGATGATAATGCATACTCTGCCTTTCCTGCACCCCCGACTCTAGCTGAGTGCTGCTCAGTGTGTTAAGATAATTAGTAACTAGATTACACATACCCGGATGTACTGGAACTCCTCTACTGGCGATTCAGGAGATGATAGCAGAGAGGTGCTGGTTAAAGTGTTGTGTGAATTATATTTCTTTGTGACGAGAAGTAGTTTGTTCCGAATAGCCACAACAATCCTCAGTTCACTTCCATGATGAGTATTAATGGCATACAAATGGCAGCCTGAGGAAATAATGTTCTAGACTCTAAGTGGTTGGGGTAGGGTCTGATTTTTTTGTTCTGTATTTGTATGATGAGTAGTACAACAGGAGTCTGATGGATGACTTGGCAACACAGAATTAAAAACTCCTCCATAGGTTTACATCGTCTTCTAGGAAAAGACAAAAGCCTATGACTCTTGAAAACTGCTTTTACCCTTAATCCTAAGTGCATGGGTTATCACTATTCTGCAAGTTCCAGCTTTTCAAAGCACCTTGCTTCTGAAAACTAGGAAACATTTTTTTTCTACAAAATAAATGGCAACACCCAGACTAATCTAAGCACTACTATTTAATGGGGGATTTTTCCTCCAATTTAGAATGTGCTTTATTTCAGTCTAATATTCCCTCAAAATTCTTCTCTTGCCTCCCAACCCTGAAATCCTATTTTTCTCTAAAGCTTCTCATCATCAGCAGTTGCCAAGTAACATGTTTTTTACAACATTCAAAAATGTCACGCTGGACTCTACTAGAGTAGTTTTCTAATATAAGCTTGATAAAGTTTGAATTGACTGTCCAGAGAAAATACTAACGGTGAACACCTACACCTGCCTAAAGAGAGCTAATAACCCCCTGGCAACTACCAGCATCAAAGCACAGTGGATGTTTTTAACACATAAGGATAACAATATCACCTTTTGTTCTCTCCAGTTTATTTTCTCTGCAGTCATATTTGCTTCTTATAATTTTTTTAGTCTCTAAATCTTTTTGGACATCACTGAGTCTGAAGACAAGGATACGAGAGTCTTTCCCTGACAAATGGAGAGAACCAAGAAAAAAGAAGTTAAAAAAAGAATGTGGTAGTTTGAAATTAATACGAGAAGTAGCACCTTACAAACAGAGCAAAAGTAAACAAAACGTAACAGCTGTCTGGGGACAGAAGACTTACGAACTCTCTAGGATTAACAATTCTAGTAACCAACCCCTTCAGTACAGTAGCCAGGTTTCTCATTAGGTGGTGCTGCACCAAAGCATGATCTGAGAGCTTCCAAACAGTCAAATGCACAATATTTTGCAAATATATAAAATCTTGGAAAATAACAAAAATACAATAGATATAAACTGCAGAGCAAGAGTGAAAGCATTAACTTTAAGAGCTGGAACCATCCAGATGAGCTACCGATAACTGGATCCTTAACAGAATTTGAACCCTTCAGGATACAGAAGGATTTTCTCTAGAAATTTCACAAACTAAATTGATACAAGTACACTTCCCAGATCTCCAAAAATGTCACCCATTCTCAAGGTGTCTTGAGAGAACTGCAAATGGCTCTCACATAGTTTGAGCTAGTTCTGTAAGATCTCAAGGTGAATTTCATCAGATGCAACCAAATTGGGAAACTCCCAGTGATACAGAAGATACCATGTTTTACCCAAAGCTTGGATAAACAGAACTTCAGAAAATACTGAGGAAACAGACAGGGTAAAAAACAATAAACCAAGCATATCTGTAATGCTTTCCTGAGTTATATATAAAGATCCTATTCTTGCTTTGTATATGTTCTCTTTATGAAACTCAATCACAGACTACTGCGTAAAAAACTACCTCACCAAAAATGTGCACATTTTATGCACATTTAATCCTTCTAAATGAGACACAATTGTCATGAGACATACATACCCAGCAACAGCCGGAGTCATGCAAGAATCCAAGAACAGGGACCTCTCCTACCTTTGTCTGTTCGGGCAATCAAAAGATTCAGAGCTTCCAACACATTCATCTGCTTTATTTGGAGAGTTTTATCAAATACTTGCACTGACGGTTGACCATCTAAAAAAGAAACACATATGTATTCAAAATCCTACTAAAACTTGCTAGATGCTGGTTTTGAACCATTTCTTTCTTCTAATTAAAGTCTTGGGTTTTTTCTTACAAAAATGAAGAGAAAAAAACCCAGAAAGAACCGCACAAAGCTCCTACATGTGCCACAGCATCATAGTCAGTACTTCCTCACAGGAGAGTTTTATTATTGTCATGAATCAGATTAAGTGGCTGAAATCTAAAAGTGATATTCCTTTGGCAAGTTTGAGAATTATGACCAAGAACTAACTTCATTCCCTCAGTCCCACTGGCTTACATAGTACACAGAGGATAATAAGGGGTCAGAGTAGCACTATCATTGCTAAGGGAAGAAGTAGGATTTCATTGTCACATAAGCCCTTGCCTTCATGCTCACTATTATCAAGGGCTAAGAAAACCAGACAAGCCATTTAGATACTTCTTGAACCTGGATGCAACCTCGTACAGCTTTTCAGATGGTCAAGAAAACAACATCTGAAATAAGAAAATATTCAGAAATCTGCATTAACACTAGCTCCCCAATATGGCTTGATTCTAATGCAGAATGAATTTTTGCAACAAGGTTACATAAATGTAATAAATTTACTTGGATTAGTAACTATGCCCCTACATAAAGACTTACTAATACCTGAACAGAATTTATGAACACACATTTTTAAGAAAATGGTCAGATACATAAAAATTGACACAAAAACACTAGATCATTTACTAACCATCTATTAACAAGATGCCAGCATCTGTAGAAACCAGCAAGGACTGGCCCCAAGAATCTGCACAGACAACCTCATGAGGAAAATTACTGCAGAAAGACTGAGATTCCCAAGGCTATGAAGTAACATAAGGGATACATATTAAGTACACTAAAAAATACAGATCATACAGACACAGAATGTCATGGACAATGGCAATAACATGTAAATGCTTTTGGCAGGACACATTTCCAAAGAGTATATTGTTGTAATTTGAAATATCAAAATTGAATTAATTTTCTTGCAGAGGACTTTCTGCATCAATTCTGGTTTGGAGACTAGTAAGTGTAAGACACATACTTGAAATGCTAGAATTAAAACACATGCAGCTGAAACTCAGTGCAACCCTCACGCAATAAGTTTTTTCATTTAAAAAACCCAAACCTATATACTTAAAATGTATGTACCACTATGCATATGCATTTTGCTTACATTTTATGGTTCAGTTTGTGATGTTTAGTGACTAGCACATGGTAGTTAAAACTGCCTTTCTGCCAAATTTTTCTTCCATCCTGTGTTCTCTGTACTTACCTCCCAGAGCCTGCCCCTCCTCTCCCAATTTATATATTAGTTAGAATCTCTGTAATTCTAGAAGCACTTCTGAAGCTTCTGTATATAAAACACATGCAGAAGAGTGCAGCTGGGATATTTCACACCCTAATGACTTCAAACAAAATCCAATATTACAGGAAATGAAAACACAACTGAATCTTGTTTTAAATGTTCTGAAATTAAAATAAAAGATGACTGCATATGGAAGATGTCACTTTCATTGAATTTTCTCAGGTTAATAAAAATGGACATAAAAATGTCCACACTTGCTTTAACTTGAGAAGTGCTTCTGCCCCCAGGCTCATCCTTTATTAATCTAATAGTGCAGAATCACTTTGACACTGTACCTTTTATCTTTTCTGCTGCAGCATCTAATTACAGAAGTAAATAAATAGATACCATACTAGATAATGTTTCATGTTTCATAACTTCTCTGACAGTTTCACTCACCTCCTTTTTACAAAAGCTTGTGGTTGCCAAGTTAGCTGTGGTATCCCCTTTCACAGTGGTTTTCAATTTCAATGCCTAATACAAACAGATGTTTTATTTAAACTGAGTTTTTGTCAGCAATACCCAAACTAATGACTATATGAAAAGGACAATGTAGGACTAGAAAGCAATTTTAGTTTGGAATTCCTATGCCATTTTAAGTAATGAAAAAAAAAGCAGAATTCTGTATCCTCAATGACGTCAGCATAAACCACTAGATGGTTACTAGTAACCATCTAGTAACAGATGGTTACTAGACAGATCTTTACAGCCAAAGCATATGTTGGCTGTTTCTTGTTTAGCTTTTTTTTTCTGTTTGCTTGTTTTCTAAATGGCAACTCAGAAGAGTCAAACATAGTAACAGAGAAAAACCTCCACCTAAAACTATGTACACAGTTTACTTTATAATCTAGCCAGATAGAGGATCCTCTTGTCAATTATACAAACTGACCTTTTATTTGCAAAACTTCCTAACAAACACTAAGGCAAACCATATATATATATGTCTGTCTCTACATACCACCAGGCATCCCAAGGACAGACTGTCACTGGCTCACAAATAGTTCAGTTAGACGTAACTAGAAGCAAACTCTTTTGAAAGAGCCAAAAACTCCAGAGAAATATCGTATATACAGTTTCATTGACTTACACAGTAAGTCTGTTAGTGTAGCCTATATTCCTTTATTGCTAGCTTTCATAGCAGTATTCCCAGAAGACTTGTGATACATGGCATTTTCACAGCATTCCTTAATGCAAAGTCTAGAACTAACCTAAACCAGCTTACTGCCCTAGAGTTTGCCTACGATCAAGCATGGCTCTCTGTGAAGTGGCAGTAAACACCTGCATGCATCACTTGCACATTTGCTCTAAGCATGGCTGTCAGCTTACAGAGATGCACAAAATACTTAATTATATGAACATTTAAATTCCATCTCACCAGTCAGAAGAGATCATCTTGACAATAAATAAATTATTCAAATACACTGCTGAATCAGTCATCAGTGAATTTTGTCGACCATCTAAAAGAGTCAACTGACTATAACGAAAGGGGAAATATGTTCCTAGTTTGGTAAGAATGATTGAGTTACTTGGAAGGTATCTTGAAATATGGTCAAGCCTACAGTTTGTAACTTAGAGGAAAGATCTTTTAGGGAAGGGAAATAGTTAAATGTTAAAAGAATCTCCAAGAAAAACACTAACAGGTATCTGCAAATTTATAACCCACGTAATAGGTTTCCCTTTGATGAAGACCATATTTAGGATGGAAGTCTTGTTTGACAAATGGGTCCCAGCTAGATAACTAGACTTGGGCGTCTTATCAGCACTTAATCTAGGGGAGGTGGAAGGGGCGTTATCCTGTTTTTCTTTACTTCTGTAAAGTAAACATTGGAATAAATCATCAGTTAATTTTATCTGAATATTACCCATTCGGCTTTCATTTTTTTCTCCAATGCCTGCCTAAAGTGACTAGTTATTTCAAGGTGACTGGGGAAAGGATAGGAAAAGCACAGAGGAGATTTTGCAGCTCTGCCAATGCAAGCTTCAATACCCCTGAGATTTTTTTGGAACCAGCTCTCAACTGCCTAGCTCAATTCTCTACCTTTAACCACATCTAGAACTACTCAGACTCTTCTATTCTTTAACTTACTAAGAGAAAAAAAAGGGAGAGAAGAGAATTGTAGCAGTGTGTTTTTTTGAGGTTTTTTTGGTAGGTTGGTTGGGTTTTGGCTTTTAGTATGTTTGCAGTTTTTTGGTTTTTGGTTTTTGTTTTGTTTTGTTTTGGCTTTGTTTTTGCTCTGTTAACTCCTTCTGAGTTAAATCAGCTCAGGAAAGAAGTATTCTTAAGATAAGCTGCAGATCTATGAGACCAGTCTGGATCAAGAAGAAACAGGTGAGAAAGGACAGGGGAACTGATGAGCATAGGCACTTGTCATCAGCTGGGTGATGGTGGGATGCCAAGGCTCCACACCTCCAAAGCTGCTATTGTGATTTCAGCTCTAGCCTTTAGCAAGGTTGTGTGAGTGAAAACAGTTCATCAGGGCGATACAGAAGAAAGAGAGACTGAGCTCCATTTGAGCTCTCTTTGGGTTTTAATTCAGCTCTTGCATCCCAGAGACTCCAGCAATGGAAGCTCCTGGAGTCAGGGACAACTGCCCTTTTATACACTGAAGGTCAAGGCAAGGCAAAGGGAGCAATCAGTGAGAAACACCGAAACTATGTGAACTGAAAGGCATGCTGGGCAGGAGGCCTCTTTACCTCGCTGCACGTGTAGAGGTGACCAGCCAGGGTCTCTCCCACAAAGTGAGGGTGACAAGCTGTATCTTAAAGGCTCTCTTCCCTCCAGGGAAGAATGGCCACATTGCTGGCTAGATCCCCAGCCACTACAGGCACTGTTGGCTTTTTTTGGCTGCAATGAACTGTCAGATCAAAGCAGACTAATCTAAATCATACTCTCAGAATCAAAAAGTTAATAAGCCCATAGAAGATTGCAGTCCGCATTTGGTATGTTCGAAGATGGGTGGCAAACTGTGATTTAACAGAAAGACTGTCAAAATTTCCTCCTGACTAAAGAAGTCTAAGCATTTTCTAAGAAATTCAATCTTAAAAAAACATATGGAGAAAATCCATGAAAGATTATGTTTTTCCAAAGCACAGAAAAAGACACAGCACTCTTCTGCTTGGAGAAAGCATCTGCTGCATGAAGCAGGGAAAGACCTTTCAGGTTTCATCCGAAGGTACAATTTTTATAATCTTCATTTAAGTAATGTACAATATAAATATTTGTACATGTATACCTCAGGCGTTACAGATAAATACTTCTATTCATATTTTATTTTAATGTAACTTAAAATAATGCAATACTACAAAACTATTTCTGATCACAGAAAACTGCATTAAATCACAACATAACTGTAAGCTAATCAAAGTCTAACAAAAGGAGTGACACAGTCTTTGTAAACATAGCTGCATACCTTCTAAACTGCTCTTACCTGACCAAGCCGAACAAACTCTGCTTGTCGAGCTTCCTCTTTTTTCCGTGTTGATTTTGGGGACTCTGGTAACACATCACTGAAGGATCTTCTATTAAGCATGTTCTAAAACAGAAAATGTTTCTTTCTAACTGCATAGCTTCTCAGGGAAGAGAAACTGCAACTTTTCCAATCCTTGAGTGCTTTACAACTTGTCATAGTCTACCACAGTCATGTTGTGTATCATCATACCACATGAATATCTGACATGAATATATGAAAAGGAAAGTTTAAGCAGTTTAAACATTGGTGGAAAAATAGCACCTTGTTTGTTTTAGAAGTACTGAACATATTATTAGTTAAGAATCACCTTAAGAGGAAGTCTTCATCATCTAAATAAATAAAGTTACCTCACAGCTACCCAGGGGTAAGAATCATCCAAATTTACACATAACAGAACAAATGCAGATTTTATGGTGGTAAGACTAATGCCTGTATTTGCAGTATCTAAATTCCCTATTCCCTTGCCACAGGTATGCTTACACAAAGTATGACATTTTTATGCTTCTCCTCACACCTGGCAAAGAATCCTGTCCAGAAAGGACTGTCTGTCAGCTTTCATATAACTGTAAATTAAATTATATGACAATCTGTATTTAGCTTAGCCATATGCAATTCAGTGCTCATTAGGATTACAGTCCTTAAAAGTAACAGAACATTCAAGCTCCTAGTTAGAACAGGACACCACATATGAGGGATGCAGAAACTTCTGACTTACATTTCCCTTGTGCAGGTCAGGCATCATGTCTTGGTATAAAGAGCGGATCAGCATGTCTAGAGTGCGTTGACGTTTCTGAGAAAATGTTGGTGTTTCCAAGGTGGCCTTTTCACCATTTATTACTAAAAGATTACGGAAAAAAGATATGTTATGTAAATGAACTCCAACTATCTCCATTGACTCTAGTTTGCCTCTGTACCAAACATCTGCTCTGCCCTTATTAATTTAGAATTGCCTCCTTTTTGTCTTTTTAAAGCGAATAACTTTCCCTTAAGTTAAAGGAGAAAAATTAGTAACAGAGGAATTCCATAAGGCATCAGAATAAATACCTAACTAATAAAAAAACTAAAGGCAAACTGCCAGTCTATTTAAGTACTAAACAATTTAAATAGGCAAAATGATCTATCAAGCTCCTGTCAGGTCTAATAGTAATCAACATGATCAATTCTCAATGATTTCTTTCTTGCTGATTCAGAAGGGCAAATACGGGTCAATGAAAACTGGAACTGAATGATTACAGAATTAAAAAGTGCAGCATAGGTGTCCTTCAGCACCTTTAAAAACAGATTCAGAAAAGCTGCTATTTTCAGGTTTTCAGAGCTACTCAACACCTTCTATTACTAAATAATGAACACCATTGTAAGTTCCTTCAGATCTCCCAAGCCCTTTACAAAAATGCAAAGCTAAATATGACTGCACATTCTGCAAATGCAAAAGTCAGCCTTTGTCTAGTAGCCTAAGAAAATTAATTTTTTTGTTAATCTGACTGTAATGGTTGATTGACAGTTTGATGGAACTGAGATTTCACTTATGCTAGAGATTTAAAAAGAATAATTTTGTATAGATCAGCAGAATACACAAGAAAATGTGTATACATTTTTAGCATCATGAAATTTAATCTTTTAGCAAAATTATTAAAAGAGTGTTTGTAGCAAAAGAAAAACTGACTTACATTTCACCAACACAAAATCCCTGAATTCCTGGTGATTTGTAAATACAGGTGGGGATGGAAGGGGAGGCCCAAAGAGAGGAACACTTTCTTCTGAAAATATTTTCAGCCTATTGAAAATACAAATCTTTATCTACATTGAAAGTCACATTCAAACTGTACCTTTTTTATAGATATTATTCAGAACCAAAGAAAAAGAATGGAAGCTATTATCTGGGTATGTCTTACATAAGAATTTCAAAGGGTCTAACAAAAAAGGTTCCCTTGGAATTACTCAACAGAGGAAAATTGTTTCTTTTACACAAACCAACACTAGGACACAGAATTAGAACAGAACTTTGCAGTTCTACGCATGCAGCAATAGTTTTAGTGGCACTAGCAAAATACTGTCTTGTTCAAAGAAGTTGTAAAAGAACAGGTTTTCATCTACAAAATATGTTCTCCTTACAAATTTCCACTTCAGCTATACATTCACCACATGCATGAAATATTTGATTCTTTCTAAGTAACAGTGGCTTATGACATATGAATCTGTAGCTTGGGAACAGCAAACTCATTTTCACTGAGGAAGACAGAGTCAGAATAACTTCCATGACAGCTGGACCTGCTGAGATCTTTTGATCCATAAGGAATCCAGCATAGCAATAATGAATAGCTGATACAAAACCCAGGCCTATTTGTTCATCAGGGAATATCTTCTTTAAGATAAGTAATCATTCTTGGCTATTTCAAGTGATAGTTTGCTGACAAAAGTCTTCCAAGTGGCACGTGCAGATGACAGGTAACAGCAAGTTAAGTGACAAAGTTATAGATTCAACCCTGCCACTTTAGAAAGCAGCCAGAACTTGTTTTCTCAAAAAACCAGCAGTGACTGACTGATATTGAGTCTAATGGATTACCATGCTTTCATATGGTCTTTTTCCCTGAAAGCTTAGAAACTGCATACAATATGAAATGTAGTACTACTTTTGCATGAAAATTGATCATCCCAATATTTGTTTCACATATTTGAGGCAGAGTTTCATAGATGCCCTATGTCTATGTCATTACATCCAGGTAAAAAAGCAGTAATTTATAACTACAAAAGGCGTGAAATGTTCCTTGACTAGATTAGAATTAATTATGACAGGGAAAGCCATAACAAACCTGACTAAAACAACAGATTTATTGAGTGATGCAAAATATAAAGGCATTCTAAGCAGAAATTCAGTGTCAGACCTCATAGTGGCACTGCATTTCAAACAAGGAAAATTTGTCTCAAAAGCCTACAGCATCCCCTGTATCTTTTGACTGGAATTTTGGCCGCTTGGAAGACTGTCTTCACACACATACGAAAGTAAGAGAAGGAATGAGCTGTATTCAGGCCTACAATGAAAACACAGAAGGAAACATAATTGGGCCAAGCTGAAATATAATGTTCTAAGGTTTTCAGATAGGAAAAAAATACGTGATATGGACTATGGCAAGATGTGTCAAGACTGGCAGTATGAAGCAAGATAAGATGGACTGATCTAGTAAAAGCAGCCAATTACTTAAGGCAAGACAGACAAATATATCTTATTTACTGCAACTTATTTCATTCCCCATATAAACAGCAATATAGAAAGCATTTTACCATGGCTAACCCATCTACTATTAGTTTACAATTAGGACAACAATCACTTCTTAAAGTGTAATGAGGGATGTATGCCCAGGTTTCTGTCCCAAAGCAAGAAGAAAAAGAAAGAAGTAACTGCATTTTTACTGCACATTGGAATCATTAACATGTTCTATGTTTCTCACAAACCTGGGAATGCTGAAAAGCAGAAGCTATGAGGACAATCAATTTAAACAAATTTGCAAGAGGAAGCTCACAAGATCTTGAAACAAAATAAAACTATTCTTTTGCTTAACTGCATTACAGACATTTTCCAAAAGAAACCTTAACTATAAATAGGAGGCAAGGGAAAAAAACCCACATACACAAACTGAAGTATCACTCTTCTCTGGAGTTAGAGTTAATGGCACACTGGAGAAACATAGTAATACATAAAATTCCGGCAGGTTTTCAGTACGTGATGTTCAACTATACAAATACTCTATTAAAATCCCTAAAAATGATCTAGTTTGCTCAGATACAGCCAAACTGTGATTTGTAAGGACTTGTAGTCTGTGGCTATCACAACATCACATACATTAACTAACTTCCATCATCCACGTAGTTTACTATGTCATGATCTCACCAGGTCTGAAAGTTCCAAGTGTATTTTTCATCATTTTTTATATTTAATCTAAAAACCGATTTTGGGTTTCCTCTTGGCTTATGCCTGTTCCAGAATTTAATTATTCTTTTGGTTAGAAGCATGCTACTTATAGCCAGTTTAGTGACATATGCATGCAGGTCCATATTGCTCTTCAGTTTCTGAAGTGGACCTGTCCAGAAAGTTTTCCCATTGACAAAATGTTTTATCATATTCTCTAAACCATCAGTAATTCATTGTGAAATTATTTGTTACAATCAGCACCTACCTGTAACTATCATTCTGCTTATTGTATCTCACTAAAGCAAAAATATCTGCCGTACAGTTAAGGAAGTTAATCCAGTTCTAATCAAGCTCACATTTATTTTACTAAACTTTTCCTGCAGTACATTAATAAAGGTAAAATATACTAAGCAAGTCAATGCAAATATATAAACAATTCTAGACTACATAGATTTTACTGTTTATAAAGAAATTCCTATATTAAAATTTTATTGTTTGATCAACAGTTCTAAAAATCAAGCTAGTACCACAGACACAATATAAGACATAGTATAGAAGTTTGTTTTATTTGTATTTGATATATTTGTGATTAAAAATTATTTCAGTTGATAAAGCAGTACTGATATTGAACTTTATTTATACCAAAGCTTCCAGCGAAGAAAAGACTCCAATTAAATAATTTAGCCAACAGAATTTTAAGAAAATTGAGAGAATGATTTAAAGTGCAAGTTTACTAAGGTTGATGCTCTACCAAAAGAGTTACATTGAAGTGGGAAACAACTCTTCTTAGTATTTACGTTACTTTGACATGTAAAGATTTTTATTTTTTCAATCTTTATTCATTTTTTATTCACCCCTAGCAAATGGGTTCTAAGAACATTTAGTCTGCCTGAGAACTAGGTGTAGAAGTCTTAAGCTTTGTGATAACTTTTTAAAACTCAGCAACAGAGTATAGCTCAAAATTAGAGTTTTCTTCTTTTCGCCTATTTTTCCCTCATTCCATTCCATCTCGTCTAACAGATGCCTGATCAAAATCTACTATCTACTGATAACTAATTCTGTTGACCCCATTATAATTCCAAGGGACTTCCCACTGGTTTTTGGAATCATACAGTCTTCAAAATGTTTTCATTTCATATTTCAGAAGTCTGAAATACACAGGCTGTTAAAAAACTGGAGAATATATGGTTAATGCTCTGAAAAATTTGATAAATACTGATCAAAAATACATAAATATTTAAAATAAACAACATCTAAACATTGAAAGGCAGTACTGAGTAAAATACCAAAATTTAATGCCAAAATAATTTACATAACTGAGAGAAATAAATTCATAAGTTTTTTTTTTGAAAAGGTATAAAATTAAATTAGTGAAATGATACAACTAAATGCTTTCAATGAAAACATGATTTAAAACTCACATTCTTGCTTTTAGCTTATTTTCTAATGGATTTAACAAATACTGTTTGATGTTCAGGACTTGGAAACTCCTAGTCAAGCAGCTGAAAGTGAAGACTGCAAGAATGCAACTGTCTTTGTAAAATAATTTTCACTTCCATAAACAGCATGCAGGGAGGACTTAGGGCAGAATTAAAAGTAATATTGATCTTAAAAAAAAGAAATCATTAGAAAATGTCAGGAAAAAGATACGTGTAAAATGAGAGCGAATCATGGATGGCTTGAATGCTGGAGAAGACTCTTCACCTTCCTGAAATATGATAGTGACAATGTCATTTCCAATATGTCGCTTCCTTTCTACCTGGAAAAAAAAAGGAAAAGAAAAAAGGGAAAAAGAAAGAAAAGGCAAAAAGAAAGAGACAGCCACAGTGAGTTACAAGACATAAATAAGTATCTTAGCAATTCTGTGACAGAATAGTAAAACAATATTCCTAAACTGCAAACAGAAAAATTACAGTCAGTATGACAGAGGGCAATATAAAATCATTACTTAAGTATAAGCAAGTAAACCTAGAAACAACACAGTGCACACAAGGCAGGTTCTAGAAGAACAGATACTGTGTATGTTTAGAAATGCACTCATAGTTTCCATAATTAATATTCACAAATCAGGCATGGAAGCCCAAGCATTCCAAAAAAGCAAATCTATTGCTTGAAATTAAAGGACAAAAGATTCTGGTGCTAAGTTATTATCTAAAAAAAATATCCTGGTTGGACTCCATTTTCTTTGGTGATCTTGTCATCAGTCCAAGCAAAAAGCACGATAAGACTGACAAAGGAACAGGAAAAGTACATTTTAATTATATCATTTAACTATATTACTGTAAGAATGCACAACAAATAATAAATCAAGTAATTTGTAAGTAATTTTGGTAAATCATTATGGATGCACAATGTATAAAGTATTTTTAAAATCATAGATACAAAGAAAGCCTTGAGCAATGAATGACAGCACATTTGAACAAGAACCCATCAGGTTAATCCATAAGAGTGTGACAGCACTTCTTTACAGTTACCAACATTAACATGCTCACAAGGGGAATTTCTTTCAAGCTACACTAATTACTACTCAAGCAAGAGTTATGTGTTACACATGTGAATATTCCTACAATTCACACACAAGGCTAATTTCCAGTTTTCCTAAAATCTTTGAGGTAGTAATTACAGCAGTGAAGCTCTGAACACCACACTTACTCAATCACTTGTTAGTGAAGCAATTTAGATCTTCTTCACAAGTATCTTTTGTACCTTAATGGAGATGATAGGATGCATTATTTCTAACAATCATGAAATTTTCAGCATTAGGTAGAATACTGAGGAAAAATCTCATGGCTTACATTTCTAAAATATTAGCAGACAAGAAATCCTTTATTTCTTATTAAGTTTTAGACTTTGTGATTTACCAAATAAATAGGAAAATAAGAAAGAGAGAACCATGTACCTGCTGCTTGTTCTCTCTAGAATATGGTAGCATGGTGGAAACATGGAACATAATTTCATGACCTTGAAAAACTGTATAGATGGAACAGGTTCCAGTTGTATCATCTGCAAGGGAAGCCAACATTTTAAGGAGGAGCATGTCCTCTAGGTTTTCTGAAGATGGAAAGATATTTCAAGTCCTTCTACCAAATCTTCTTCAGTTATCCTTTTTGGTCTGATCCATTTTAGAAAATGTCCACACTGCATGCTTCATGTGAGTCCAAACCCAAGTTTGCAAATAATCTGCATATTCACACTTAAAACCTACGACGACTTTCACCTACCCTCCTGAAATCACACGGGTCTTCAACCCACAATGTCCTACTATCATGAAGCAAGTAACATGTCAAGCTATTGCTCACCTCATTTCATCTTAAAATGAGACTGTTCACCTTGATAACACATGTCGTAACTGCATTCCATACCATTGACTAAAGCTGACCTGACTCTTTCCTGGTGAAGCAGAGCATTTAGTACACATATGAGGAAGTCTATTTGGGGATTGTTTCTTAACTATGATAGATATGATATGCAATAAGAAGAAACATTTAGAATACAACTCCACCCCCATTTATTGCTTCAGATGAATTCTTACTTTTAGTGTCCAGTCCTCCTCTGTAGCCTGACCAGCCTTTCAAAGTAATTGTGTCGCCCAAGAGATGCAAAAATCGTTGAAAACTTTCACTTCCAGTTTCTACATGTGGGAGGGAGAAATGTTACCAAAAAAGCATACACATACTTATAGAACATGTTTTTAAAATAACCAAAATAAGGAAATGGGTCCTGCTTCCAGGACACAAGTTTCAGCTGAATTAGTTTCCTTTCATGTCTTCACGCCTACTGCCTTTCCAGAAACAGCATCCTAACCTTGCAGAATAGGCATCATCACGTGACATTAAACAGTGACTTCTTTTGCTAACACCCATGCTGTTCAAGTGCATAGGAGAATGTGATTGTGCTGTAAAAGAGTGAAAGACTTACAAGCAGTGAGTTAATGAGTCGCCTCCTTCAACTGCATCTTTTTTCTAAACATTATGTCTCTCAGACTATTTCTAGAGGAGTGATTTCACTGTCTTTCAAGCTGTACCAGTAGGCTTTGTACAGCAACTTCTTACAGAATTAGAAGGCCCTGTGCTACAATTTTTCACCCAACACATGAAATCAAACAAAATAACTCTTCATATAACCACTACCTCCTGCCTTGTTTCCGGCTCTAGGCACCATCTTCCTTTTTTTTTATTCAGATGAATAAAATAATTAAGGAGAAGGTGAAAAACTCACCATTACTGAACATTTCATCATCTGTAAGCTGACCATCCTTAGCATAAAGGACTCCAAATTTAAAATTCACAGATCCCTGAGAAATAAAACCAAATATTATATGATAAACAGACAATGAAACAGAGGACCTAAAAATCTGTTTCCTCTGAAGACTTTTATATATGTATCTTTGTACACATCCTACACATCAGAACATACACTTTATACCATCTCCTATATACCATCTCCTAATACCTAATAATTTACCCTTAAACTTTTATAGTATAGCATAAAATTATTAATCTAAGTTGGCAATCTATTATTATGAGATATTAAGTTGGTGCTCAAAGTTATTTTTGATGTCATGTTCTAAAAACATTAATTTTTTACTGTAATTCGCAATTGATTTCAAAGTCATCATAAGCACGTCAAAGCTGTATTCACTGGACAGGTCTGTGAGCTAGAAGTGCTGAAGTTTATACTTACCTCTTGCTCTTCAAGAACCAATAAATCCTGTAAGCAAAAACAGTATCTTTAGCACACTTGTATTAAAGATTCTACAAGGATGATAGTTTTGTGGTTTTAAGTTTTGATTTGAAATGGCCAGTTCAATAGAAAAAGACAGTTTAAGTACTACTACATATAATCATCATTATTAGCCGCTATTGGAAGAAACAAACTAGTAGTATTTATACTTAATTACTTCTATTTCCAGAAAATAATAAAAGAACCAAACAAAAAAAGTCACCTCCTACCTTTTGTATCTCAGGATGAAAAATTTCTCTTGGGCTCTTCTCAAATTTATCAAGACTCATAGCACTGAAACATAAATGAAATAGTGCTTTATAGAAGGGCAAGTACACATTTCAACGCTGAACCACCAACTGATTGCAGTAACAACTGGTTACAAAACGAATTGTTCCAAGAGCCTCTGTTAAATGGAATGTTTTGTGGACCTGCCGTTTCTTTCCCAAAACACTAACTTCCAACACTTCCTAAACTTCTTTTGTATTTTAAAAACAGAAATTAGGGAGACCCCCCATGTGGAGATCAGTTTTAAGTTTATTTATTTATAAAGCACAGAGCTCTACTATATTACCCTTCACTTTGGCTTTAAACATAATCACCATAAGCATTTTAGGAGGGCTCAATAACCAAAGCTATTTTTTAAGTTCTCTCTCTTCTTAAATAATTCAAGGCAAGTCAAATGAAAAATGAGAAGTCCAGCATCAAATTCATAGAGCAATGATTCACAGGCAGAAAAGATATTCACATAAAAAGCAAGATCAACCACCTCAATAAACAGAAATATCTAATTCATAGCATTTTTTTCTTAACTCGTACTTCTGCATTTAACATTGTTTCTATGCCCCTTTCCATCCATCCCCAAGCATTAAAGAACTGTGTGGTATGTCATGGAGCACCAAATACAATCTTCCTGGGGCACAGCGAACTAACATAGAGGTGAAATCTTTCCACTGTTGCTTGTGTTAGATCACAGTGCAGAGATGATTTTCTTTAGTTCCTTTTGAAAAGTACTAAAACCTTCCAAAGAATTTAGAAAAAGGACATTTATTACTGCAACTAAAATTCTTTGAGACAGTCTTTATCTAGATTCACACCAGGTGTAAACAGGTTGAGATGTCAAAGGACTATCAATTAGGCCTGAGGGATGCCTCAAGGACCTTAAAAGCAAAAAAAATTGTCAGGGAAGAGTTTTCAGTCCAAGCTGAAGCAGGCAAAAGGAGATGACTTTTATGCAATTGACTGTATGTGACACACACCCTGAGAGAAACAAAGTCTGAAACAAGCCTTCCATCTTCCTCTGTAGAATACTGGAGCATCACAGGGTGCTAGAAACAGGTCAGGGTGTTTTAGCAACAGAGTTACAGCCCTAGCTAACAGATGACAGTTTCTGCACCCTGGGATGCCTGACAAGGTAAACACTTGTGGGTGGAGTGGAGAGAGAGGCTGGGTTGGAAAGGGATGTTAGGAAGAGTGACTTCAGTGACTGGTGGGCAGACATGGAAAATCAGGTACTTACGCAGGTCGAGAATACAGTACAATTAGGAACACTATTCAAGCCAAAATGGTAGGAGTTCAAAGAGAGCACTTAGCTCAACTTGAAGAAGAAGATGAAAGGTATCTCAAGTGTTTTCAACCCACTATCTTGACGCTCCAAAACAGAGCCCCAGCCCAGGAAATCAGATTTAAGAAGTGAGACTCAAAGGCCTGATAGCCTCTCAGGTAAATTCAGTAGTCTGGGACCTCTCATAAATCTTGTGCAGTAGCAGGAACATCCAGATCTGTTGGTAGCGACACCAAAACACATGGTCTGCATCCAGAATTCTCCTTTCACACAGGCACTGACAGTGTTAACTGGTGTCCCGGTTTCAATCAAACAAGAGATATTTGTTCCTACTCTATACAGATTACAGGTTTTAAAAACCTGCAAACCACACAGTTGTCTGGTATACACCATTTGTTTAGCAAAAGACACTTTTAATGGGTTCCTAGAGAAGCTAAAACCCTTACAGAAGATCCATTAAATGACACTGTCAGAGAGGAATTTAAGAAAACACACCACGTGATAAGATTGTAAAAACTGCAGATTAAATTTGAATTAATGCTTTGAAAATCAGTGCTCTGACATTTCAGCTGATGAAATTGTTCAAAGAAATAGAAACAGTGTTGGGTTTGCTCACTTTATATTCTCTTCTACCACAAAAGAGGCAGGGCAGAGTACAAGCATGCTCATACGAACTCTACATGAGAGTAGGAATTTTCTTGGCTTCACTGTGCATTATACACCTGTAGTGTGTAGTGAGACCCAGATGAAGACAATCAGCTAAAGAAATAATTCTTGGCATCTTGACTGCTTGCTTCCTTCCTGCTAGGGCCACATAATAACCACCAGTGAAAACCTGCTATTCCTTACCTCTTTTTATTGTCTAATTTTAAAAAATATTTCTTCTCTATCACTGCAGTTCCACTTAGTACCTGTTTTCCAATTGAAAACTGTCCTTCTGCTGAAGGAAAAGTGCTAAGAAATTTCTCCTCATTAAAAGTTTTCACTTTGTCTGTCCAAGAACAGGCTTTAAAACCACTTTTTGCTGCCTTCAATGATTAAGACTTGCAAAACTGTTTTTATAGATTTATCATGAAAACCACAGAACATAAGCTCTGAATTACAGGAAAAGGTATACAGATAAATATCTAAACTGATAACTTATTTGTAAATACATACCTTAATATAGATTTCACTGATAATGTTTTTGTGGGACTGTAAGGGAGACATATTTTCTGAGTACCCTGTAAACAAGAAAAACTAGGATATACTACAGGACATACCAACTTTTTCTGCATAATCAAACAGGAATTTTAATAAAAAACAATTAAGTTAAAAAAAGAAGAAAAAAGGTAATTTTACTTAGCTATATTTACTGATTAGATTTATTACTTAGATTTATTATTACAATTTTTATGTTGATATATTCACTGATTTAGAGGAAAAAAAGTCATGGGTGTTGCAAAGAAAAGAAAAGCAAACCATGCATGTCTACAGTAGAGCTGCTTGTATAAAAGACTGTCATGGAACATTATGTGGAAAAAAAGTGAAACCAGTATCAGACCTGCCTATTTTCTTACCATTGTACAAGAAAATCCTAAAAGCAGTATAAAGTCATTGACTAAACTGATCATAGGATGTGATCAAGAACAATTTAGGCATCATTTCTAAAAAAAAAAGCATTTTGTTAGAACAATTAGAAAAGATCTGACATTACAGATTCCTGTCAAAAAGTTTAGTATAACATTATCTGCAAATTTAGTTTAATTTTATCTACTATGGTAAAGTTATATGCTCTTATTATATAAGATGAAAATATGTAACAAATACTAGAATTACAGAGAAAGAAGAAAAAGCATATGATAAACATATCCAAAACAAACAAACAAAAGTCAGAACAGCAGTTAAATATTTGTTTCTTACTGTTTTTCTCCAAAGTATTGAATGATATTGAGGAATGCGCTGATTATTTTGGTCAGACAGTACAACAGACAGGAAGAAAGGGTTCTTCTCTGCATCTGTACCTATATAATTCTGATGAACTGTTGGGAGAAAAACAAGTAGCACTATCAGTCATAAGGAAGACACACCCACCCACTCGTGTGCAGAATCAAAGAGACACTTGTCTATACATAAAAGTATATCATTGTATTCATAAATAATTACGTATTTATATATAGATGTGTAAAAAAAACACCCCAAGAGATAAGTACAGCTTTCAAAGCCAATCAGGATTTCAAAACATCCCTTTTTGGTAGCAGGGGTTTCATTCCTTACAGACACCCATCCTCAGTTTTGAGGTTAAACACACATGAAACAAGGACTTGTTTCATGTACAAGACAAAAAATGTTTTAATACTAAATTAACACCATACCTTTTTCCATATTGAAATAACAATTCAAAACTACATTACATTTTCATTGGTCTGAATTCCAATCAATCCACGAAAAATAATTACCTTTCCCTAAAAAATACTTGAAGTACCATCTTGTATGATACTCTGGGTTTTCCAAATGCACATCTGTTCTGTGCCATGTACCTGGAGCATAGTCTGTATTCTGAAATAGAATTGGGAGACTGTTACATTAAATGTCAAGGGAAAAAAGAGGATAAAATATAGGCAAAAACAAATAAAGACTGGCTGATTCACTTGAAATTTTAGCTGTAAACTAGTTTTTAAAAAGCAAGGATTTTTCTGAAGTCAGTTGGTGTGTAGCTGAAATAAAGGTTCCTCCCTCTCATTTACTCTTTGTTGTAATTTCTCCCTAAGTAGGTAAGTCCTAAAATGTCAGTGAAAAGGAGGTCTTTCAATGTAGAATTTGAAGACAAACATTTTTAAAACTTAAATAAATTAATGCTTTCTGGTTTCATTTTCTCAGTTATTCCCAAATTAATCCTCAAAGTCTCCTTGCTTGACTAAAGCATGCCTTGGAAGTTCTTCAGTGCTGTTTCTCATAAATTAAGGTAAATTCCCAAGCATCCCTCAAGTCCTTTCCCACTATGAATTAACATGCGAAGAAAAAGCCATTCTCCATAATCATTCACCCTGTGGCCATTCATCACCCACTCTATGAATCTTTCCGCAATACGAGCTAATTGGCTTTTAAGCTGCATGAAACTGAGCTAAAAAGACAGAGGACCAAACATGACCCCCACATAGAATCAATGCAGAATAGTCAGACTGCTTTCAACTGCAGAGAAACATTTTAACAGAGTAAAAGCATGATATTTTAGTAAAAGCCTGTCTGCACAAGCCAGCCTTTAGTCCAGGCAACAATATTAAAGGTAGTGTCCTTGAAATTCTCCTGGACCACTGAGAATAAAGAAAAACAATAGCCTTGTGTATTAAGAAAAGCATGCAAAACAATATGTATTAACCAATAGTAACTTGCTAAGCCTGTGGACTCTGTCAAACTATAAAAGTGTGCTAAAGATAGAAATAAACAACGTTCGCCATACTACTGTGAAGACTCATGAATACTCTGAGTGGTTTCTCAGTAGTCAACTCTGCAGCCAGTGCTGATGCAAGCAGATGATCAGTAACAGTTTGCTGTTACTATTAGTTTAATACACAGCTTACCAAGATCTTACAAGTATTTATAGAATATAAGGTCTTCTTTTTTCCAATATTAAGATGGTATTTACAGATGAAAAAGTTTTGCCAAGGAAGATAAAACATGAAGTTAAGTGGAAACCTAAGTGTCACTGGAGTGGCTGCAGGGACATGTTGATATATTTTATATATTAGTAAAGGCCTGTATGCACAAACCAGCCTTTGAAATAAGTTGTGATATTAAAGGCTAAAGTCCTTGAAACCTTCCTGAAGAAGAAAGAGTAAAGCAAAACAATATCCTTGTGTGAAGGAGAAAAAATGTAAACTGTGTGTGTTAGCCAATGTAGCTTGCCTTGCCCACGGACCCTGTAAAACCCTACAAAAGGTGTGCTAAAGATAGAAATAAACGGTGTTCACGTTTACTTCTGTGAAGGCTGGTGAATAAACTGGCGGTCTCTCAAGAGGGACACACTGTGAGTTTAGCAGAAAGAAAGATGAAGAGAATGACTCTCTGAGGCTCTGCTCAACTTCTTTCTCTCTTATTTGAAGATAAGCATAGCTGTGAAAAGACAGCTAAGGGTCAAAAAAATGAAACAAAACCTCATCACACCAAGGAGCTAACTTTAAAGAACAGAGGTCAGCTTGAACATCATAGTACCAACAGGACAGCATATATACACAGTGATGAACTAGAGACTGGGAAGTGTCATTCAGAGGTGTTTTTCTCCTAACACAATCGAGTGAGCAAAAATGTTACTAAAACGAAACAAAATGCCAGAATTTTCAAAGTCCTCTTCCTTAGTAAATGACTGCAAAGGCATCTTTCGTAGGTGAAAAATAACTGAATATGAATAATTTTCTCAGCATTCTATGAGCATTTTCAGGCACTTACCTCATCAGAGGAGCCATTTTCCACACGGAACCGTCCAGCTCTTTGAATGGCTCCATCAGCATCACTAGATATAAGCTATAAGAGAGTTTAACATAGAGGTTCCATTTCCAAAAATAGCCATACAATCAGCAATCAAAGCTTACTACCATTTCTTTTTGTTCCAGGCATCATGAGTCCCCACAGAGAAGAGATCAGTTTAGCTATTACTAATTTGACTGAAGATTTTGAATGACCCAGCAAGAACTCTAACAAGACATGAATGACATGCTACTGTGGAAAACATGTAGCAAGAAAAGTTAAGTATTCAACTTAAGAACCTTTAAACATCTGTACTCCAAAAACAACACACTTTCATAAAATGCTAGCAGAATTTTTAAGAAAAACAACCAAGAAACAAGAACATTTGTGTGAGCTTATTGTCAATTTATAATTATAAATAACTTTTTCTTTTCCAGCAGAAGACTCTAAGTACTAGGAATGAAAGAGCCTCTTACCAGAAAGCAGTTTACTTGACCTTTTGGATTAAAACACCATAGCTTTTATGTGGAATGTATGGAAAGAAAAGGAAGATACCTGGTGTTCCCACAGTGCAACTTCCAGCAACTAGGACACCAATTTACACCCAATTAACATACACATTAATAAATATACTACCCGAGACCTTTAAATTTACAACTATAGCTAGTAGAAAACTTGTGATTTCCTCCCACAGTAATAGAGCTGGAGCTCATTTTCTTAACTCCTCCCCCCTTCTGCTATTCTACAGTAAATTTGTGTAATTTCATTATGACCTTGTAATCAGAATGACACTGTTTTAACTGCTGACATATTCTCCCAGTGGAGAAGAAATTTATATATGAGAAAAAAGAAGTGCCAACTTAATTGTTGAATTTCAAGAAAATACAGAATAACTGATAGATTCTACGGAACTGTTTTCAAAATCTTAATTCTGACTAGTTCATTTAGTTTTAAGCCCTCTCCTACTATCATGGGTCATGTACATATAAAATTATATACACATGTATGTACACACGTGAGCATGTATACAGTTTATAACTTAAATAATTGCAAGTATATCAGTAAATACTACCCTAATTTTTTGCCATCTTCAGATTCTAAGAGGAAGAAAGGCTCAATTTCCATCTGGAGGTAAACACAGTATTTATATAACACTTCCTTTCCTGTTACAATTAAATATTAATTAATAAGGTAGTAAAAAGATCTACTCTCACAGGTCTGATGTATATCTATTCAGAAACCACTTTATATAGCTTACAACTTTCAAGTCCAGCTAAGAAAGCACATTTTCCAAACTAGATCAAATTCTTTTACTTGGAAATGAAAAGGATTAGAGCTCTGCATTATAAGCTGATAAACTGAAGGACAGGCTATGTATACTTACAAGCTCCACAGATCCATAATGCTTTCTGCTAAACTCTCCACGTCTGCAACCCAGATCTTCAGAGACAGAGCTGGAATAGAAACGCTTCATCAGTGTACACAAGTCAACTAGCCTTACATTTCCCACAATGCTATACCCTGCCGTTAAAAAAATATCATTTCTGCTGAGCAAGGTTCACAGCATATAAACTCACTGCTGCAGAGAACCCTTCTTACAGCACGCACAATCTCTAGCAGCCATTGCAGTCTGGCTTTCACATTACTCCTAAAGGAAATGTCCGTGCCCTGACTGGAAGTAAAAGCTATGATTAAGTTAAATACTTAGGCATGATGCAATCAGAGTTCCAAAGAGGGTGGTGGCTCATAACTGTGTTCAAAATGTAAACTTAATGTCTCAAAGAGAACAACTGCACTGTACAACTCAGTAAGACCACACATAGTAGGTTGCTACTGGCTTTTTCAGTCCTTTTGTAGCCTACACACAACAAGAAACAAAATCAGTACTTTAATTTTAGAGCATAAGGAAATAACAGCATTTCAGAGGTTTCCCTCCACCACCTTAACAAAGACAGAAAAGCGATTCTAGAATGTGAAGTCCAAAATCCACCTGCATTACCAACCTCATATCATCGTATCACTTTATGCACCACCTCTTCACAAACTGCATTCCAAAAATTTGAAGACACAGACTGTCTTATTTGTCTTATTCTTTGTCTTATTATTGTCTTATTCTTTATCTTGCCACAAACCACACCCTTTAGTATCAAAAGCATTTTTCTGACAGCACTCTCAATAAGTAAAAAAACCAGGAGTATATGTGAGCTAATGATTAAAACAAGATTGCTTTAATATCAATATTCTCATTCATGTCCCAAATTCAAACTACCTAAAACATACCTACCCTTCAAACACACTAGCAGTCCTTTTAAAAATCAGAATTATACTCAAGAGCTAATCTCTGCTTTTTCTCAACTGAACTACTTTATATCGCACATTGCCTGTTTCATATCTTGTAAGTAAAGCAGAATCTTACACCAACATAAATGCTATAGAGACAACCTCATAAAAATTAGGCATCTTAGCTTCAATTTAGGCACAGGTAAGATTCACATTATCACGCTATTTGCATCAGTGCATATACTCCCTAATGAATTCTTGCCTGCATACCTCTTTGTATCTACATTCTCGGTTACCATCAAGATTTGTACTCAACTCTCTCACATATCACATCTGCTAATTTAAAAAATACACTGTGATTAAAATCAACTGTTCATATTAATTTTCTTCATTGAATTACATCCTTCCTCAGTCCTGATCTATATAAGAAAAATGGCTGTTCGAATTACGACAATTTTAGAGTAGTTTTTATCCTATTAAGATGAAATGCCAGCACTAAAGAGGTTAGTTCATCAGTGCCTCAGATCAGCTGGGCTCAGTAGTTTAAAATTTACTTACATTGTGAAGTATTTAAATACAGATGCGCCTTTATTCACATGAATATAACTAACCAGCTTGCATGCATTTGTACAGCATCTACACAGTATACTCCACCTCCCTTTCCCATTTGTCTGGAAATGACAGATGCAGTCGTATAAATGAACAGTAATGATGAAGAGGAGAGAGGACTACCTTCCCCCCGTTTCAACAGAAGCTCCTACAAAACTGTGCTGAAAGCTGAACAAAGAAACACAATCAAATGCATTTGCTAATCTAAACGTAGACATTTTTAGGATCCTAGTGTCAAATCACAAGTTTTGTCTTTCAGAAGTTCGACACTGGAAAGCACTTTACCTGGGGGACGGGAGAGTAGTGGCAGAAGGGGGTGAGTTTGCACCTGTGTGATCAGAAGGATATAGCCTGCGTGCTCCCTTGGGCTTGCCATTCTCCTTAGCATCTACATGTTTACTTGTCAGTGTCGGTCAATCTATTTTCATTTAAGAAAGTCACAAGCACTAACGCAGCCAGCAATCGTGTAATTGCAGTGATATCCCAGCGCTATCTGCTTGCACGAGCGCAACGCTGAATACGCTGCGAAACCGATTCCGAAGCCGCTCGTCCGACTCCGCCCACACCACCTGCGGCAGCCCGAAGGAGACGGCTGCAGCTCGGGGGTCCTGCTGCTCCGCTAGCTCGAGGACCAGCCGCCCCACACCACAGGAGCGTCCAGCGCCGCTCGCCCGGGCGGCCCCTCCAGTCCCCGGTCCGCAGAAGCAAAGCACCGCCTTCCTCTCCGCCATCGCCGGTCGGCAGCGCGCCGCGCCCCCCCCACCCGAGCTCAGCCCCCTCCTCCGGTACCGCTGAGTGAGGCCGAGGAACCGGGTGGATGCCCCTTCCGCGCTGCTCAGCTCCATGCGGGCGGCCAGACGGAGACTTCACCCCTCCAGCGTCGCTCCCGCGGCTCCGTCCCGCGCGGCAGAGATGCCGGCGGCTCTCCGCGCACATCCCGCTCCCCCGGCGCACGGCCCCCGCGTCCGCCCCGGGCCGCCAACCACTCATATGCCGCGTCGGCCGCTGCGCCGCCGGCAGGGCCCGCCGGGAGTTGTAGTCTCGGGCTGAGAGCCGGCTGCCCTCCGCCGCCGGGAGCTGCAGTCCCGCGAGGGGAGCGAACGGGTCCTTCGCCCCTACGCCCCTGTGCCAGTACCGCCCCTCCGGAATGTCGGCTTTATAAACGTCAAGGTAAAACATCGTTCCAGACGAGAGTTTTACATGGAAAGTAAATACTATTCGATATGCCCGCAAGTAGCAGAAACTAGTCAGTTCCAAGACAGCCAAGCGGATAGGTCAGATTTGCTGCGGAATGCTGCTCTCAAGTCCAGGTTGAGAGGAATGATGGGTTTGTCTTTACAAACAAGCTGTGGATCTGCTGATAAGATGCAGCTATCAGTGAGAGACAACAGAAACAATGGGATAGATTCCTCTGAAAGATGAAAGAAGCACTGAAAGAGCACCATGAATTCCACAAGAGTTAAGAATTAAGAAGGGATTCTGCATTGGAGGGGGGGAAGGTATCCCAGATATCAGGCGTTCTGGGAAGTCTGTACCTCTCAAGTACCTCAGCCTATGGGGAAAGAGAGAAGGGACAAGCGGCCGGGAATTAGGATAAAAAGGAGGCTGCGCCCTCCAAAAATTTGAGAGACCCCAGGGGAATGCCCCATGGCCTCTCCCTTTATTCTAATAAAGTAAAAGGACTCCTCTGTCTCCTTTTTGGACATAAACCTCTGGTCTTTGTGGATTGATTTTCCTGACAAGATGACACACCACAATGATTCATTTACACTTACATGACTGAAAGTGAGCTTGCATGGTGACTCACGGGCCATATGAAATGCAAAGGACTACAAGACACATCTACACAGCATTGTACATGGTACTGAGAAAAGCCAGTCATCAGAGTTTGTCACAAATCTATCATAATAATAAGCATTTTACCTAGAAGTACAGCATCCATTTAAGGGTCCCCTAAAGCTTTTCACAACCACAGGAGACTCAAGGACCCAGGCACACTTAGGGAGAGGGTAGGTAGCCAACTTGTTCAGATTTGGCCCATGTGCCACTAAACTCATCCGTTGATTCTGGTTTTCTTTCTTGTAGCTAAGAAGACTAAGAGGCTAACCAGCCATCATGGCACCTTCCAAGGCAGACTCATTTCAGGTCCAACATGAATTCATGTCACTGGTCATCTGAAAGATAAGATGGGGCCACAGCTTGGAAATGGGATGATAGTAGGGTAGTGGGTTGGAAATACCTGGGACAGGTTTAAAAATTAGTGGAGGGGAAAGAGATGTCCTTTAAGGGGTCTCTTAGGACAGCTAAAGAGAGTGGCTCTAGTTTTGATTGCTGGTGTAGGGTATGCAGATGGTGCTGAGCACCCTCGGGACTCATCCTGC